GGCTGGGTGTGATACAGAGGAACGGGGCTGGCTGTGGTGCAAAGGGACGGACCCATCGCAGGGGCTGGACCCGCTGCAGGGGCTGGAGCTGCTGCAAGGGGACGGCTCTGTTCAGGGCTGCACACGGTGGTGGCTTTGTCCCCCCCGCCGTCCCCACCCCTTCCTCACCGCCCCACCTCCCTCTGCTTCCCCACCCGGGGGCAGTGGCTCCGTCCTCACCTCCCCGTCCGACCCTCCAGCGGCACAGCGGGGCGGGGGGCGCCCGGCCTTACCGCAGCGGCCGGGGAGACGCGGGGACAGCACGACCCCACCCCCACAGGCTTCTGATAACCTCCCCCTTCCCGCCAGCAGCGGCGCGCAGCGACATTTGCAGCCGCCTGCGGGGAACCTCGGCGGTCACCCCTCTCCCACCGCCCACCCTTTTGGGGGAGGAACCCCCCCATGCAGTCCCCACCCCCCCGCCGCCTTCAGCATCCATCCAAGGGCGGGGACCCTCAGAATAGCACCTCCTGGGGGTGCAGCCCCGCAGCCGGGCGGGGGCTTTGCGGGGGCTGCGGCTGCTCCAGACGGGGAAGCGGCACTGTCTGCATCGCTAATGGAGCGGTCCGGCGGCTCCTCCCGTTCCGGGGGGGGTGGGGTGGGGGGTGCAGCACCACTGCGGGAGCTGCGGGAAACCCGAGCGAGGGCGGCCCTGCCCGGTGCGGCCCCGCGTGTGCGTGCAGCTCCCCTCCACCTTGCACGTGGTGGTGCAGGGAGGAGTGCGTGCGTGATGGGATGCGGGTGGAGGTGGTACCGGGAGCTGCGCCGCAGATGCAGATGGGGAGAATCACTCGCGGGGATGAATTTAGCGGGAGGGGAAGTGCCCCCATTTTGGCCACCATGGATGGAGTACAGGGGGCGATGGCCCTGCTGGGAGGGGGGGGGGGGGGGTCCTCTGCCACCCCACACCCCGCGCGCAGTGCTGCTCTGCAGCATTACCCAGCACAGCCCCACACGTCCCAGCTCCTCAAGCCCACACCGCAGACCACCTCCGACGCCCCCACCCCAGCGCGGGGCGGTGGTGCCGAGCGAAGCCCCCACGCTCCGGGCAGCCTCCCAGTTTCCTCTCTCTGTCCCCTCTGGGGATCCAGCTGGCAGGACGGCACCTATACATATACAGAAGGAGCTCATTTCTACGGCGGTTTACTCAGGAGCGCATTCCGTAGCCGCCCGGCAGAGGCTCCGTGCCCGGGGACACGGTGTGGCTGTGCCTCAGTTTCCCCATCTGCACATCGTGGCGTTTTGGGAACAGCTTTCCCCGTGTTTTTAAGATCTATTCCTGGAAAGCTCTGGGTGTCATTATCAAGACTATTTTTAGCGTGGTAAATGGGTTATTAACGTGATTATTTGCAGCGTGGCAATGAGGAATTGCCCCTGGGAGGGGGTGACAGCAGCTGTGCCCGGGGATGGCCCCAATCCACCCCATCCCATGGGAACCCACCCCAAAACGTCAGTGGGGTCCTGCTGGGGTTGGGGGTTCACGGCGCCAGCTCTTGTTTCGATCATGATGATGAGCTGAGTCACAGCTGGGGTGCTGCTAATTAAATGTACTTCTTAATTAACAAGATCACAGAGAAGGGCCTGCCAGCCCAGCTTGGCTTTCCATCACGGCTGACAGAGGCAGCTGAGGCCGTGCCTGGGGTGTGATGAGAATCACAGTGCTCAGCACTGCCCCTGGACCCCCAGAAACCGTCACCATGAGGACAAGGAGGGGCAGCACGTGGCCATGGGATGCAGTGAGAGTGCTGGGGTTCAGCATAGGACCTCTCCATGCAGTGCTGTGACCCCGTGCTACGCTTTGATCCCACGTGGAGCTCAGCTTCCATTGCACTGGGGGTCTCCCCGTGAGAAATGCGGGTCTGAGCAGCTCTGCAGGGCTGTTCCCCTCCTTTGGCATTCTGCATTCTGCTCATGTCCTGTGTGAGAGCAGCGGCACTGAGTCACGTTCCAGTGACTCACGGCTGCCCCAGCCTCCCCGGGAGCAGCACATTGCAGAGATTCCTGGATGGAGGCCGGAAAATAAAATTAAATAATAACAACCTCCCCCCCTCCTCCCCCGTTCCCCAACACACGCGCAAACAGTGAATTCCTGCGCCAATGGGAAACACCTCCTGCATCTTCGCCAGACGCCGCAGTGTACGACCTGGTTCCATTGCATGAGACGCCCTTTGCTGGAGGCCATGGAAAGGAGGCAGAAACTGCATCCTCCCAAAGCTCCCCTGAGCCTGGGGAGAGCCTGCAGCACGCGGTGCAGTGCAAAAGGGGTGCAGTGCAATGCAGAGGGAGTGCAGTGCGGTGTGAGGGGGGTGCAGCGGGGTGGGTGCTGGGGAACCCTCAGCTTTGCATTGCTCCCTGAGGGGGATTTGTGGGGTGCAATTACTAGAGGCTCCAATCTTTTTGCCGTGCTTCGGAAAGGGCTTTATTGGAATGCTCACAGAGCAGCACCAAGCACAGGGTTGCAGATCCATAGGGCAGGTGTGGAGCAGCAGCTCGGCTCCACACAGTGTGGATTCCCCGGATCTGCTCCAGCAGGGATGTACCTGTGAGCCCAGCAGCTATAGAGCAAGCCCCTCTAGAGCCCAGCTTTTATGTATCCCAACCCAAACCAGCACAGATGCTGCCCTGGTGATGCAGTCTGCTAAAGACCTCACAAAGCAAAAAAAAAAACCACCAAAAAAAACCAACAGCGCATTTTGCACAGCAGAGTGCAGCATCTGCAATTACAAAGCAAGAAAATATCCCCAGCAGAGTAGCAACTATAGAGAGGGAGTGCCTATGGAGAGGAGAAACCCTATGAAGCCTGTCCCTTTCCAGCCCCCACCCCACAAAGCAGGCTCCCAGCGATGTCTGTGTGATGCTGGGGCAGCACTGGGGAGGTGACAGCAGCCACACACCTTCCTGCATCCCTGTGGGCCCAGGGATAGGGGGTTGGGGTGTGGGATTTGGGATCGGGGCCCCTGGCTGGGGTTCAGGGCAAGTGCAGGGTGCTGCAGCCCCTGCGGGGATGCTGCTACCCATAGTGATCCCTCTTTGCCACAGTTTTGGGTTTTCTTGGTGATGGGTGGCCCAGCCCCCCGTGCGGCAGCCACATGCGGGTTTCACAACGTATTTTGGTCAGTGTTTACAAGAAAAGGCTGCGGCGAGGGCTGTGGCTGGGGATTCCAGTAAATGGCCCCTGGCCTTCCTCATTCTCAAGAATAGGAAACTGCGTGACTTCTGCTCGGCGTTTTGCTGCGCTGCTCCTGTGAGGGGCCAAGAGGAGCAGAGAAAGTGCCATAATCCACAGCGCTTTGCCCTGTGTGCAAGGCTCTCTTCCCTCTGGGAAAACACATCGGGGGATCGCAGCGCTGGGTCCCACAGTGCCTGTATGGGGGATGCTCACGGCCCACAGCGTCCAGTGGATGCTCCATGCTCCCATAGGCAGCGGGGTGGGCAGGATTGGCAAAAATAGCACCGGGCGCCCTCTGCCCCAGCAGTTCAGTAAACAGGAAATCTATTCTTAGCCCCATTCATGAGCCGTGTGCCGGTGGCAGCTCCCCGCTCCAGGCTTGTTTTGTTCCGCGCCGGCACGCGGTGACGCCAGGGCGGAAGGCGGCCACGCCACGATCTGACCCGAGGGCTCCGACCCGAGGGCTTTCCCTCGGCTCTGCATCCCTGAGCCGCCCCAGCCCCTCCGTCTGTGGGGTTTCCAGGGGCCGGAGGGGTGGGTGAGGATTTGGGAAGCGCTGTGCTGCGTCCCAGCCGTCAGTGGGCACGGTGGGACGGGCTGAGTTGGGTGACCTTAAAGGCCTCTTCGGACCATAATGATTTGATAATCCTACGAACGGGCGTATGGGGATGGGCTGCTGGTTGAGGTCTTTTCCAGCCTCACCGATCCTATGAGTGGGCATGGTGGGGTTTGGGTTGTGACCGGACTCGACCTCAAAGGTCTTTTCCAGTCTTAACAATTCTCTGATTCTGTGGTGGCTCTGTGACTCTGCCGGCCTCGCGCTGGGTGGCACAGTGGGTCCAAGCTCCTCTCACTGCTCCCCAGCGGCACAAATTGCTCCGGAGGAGGTGAAGCCATCGGCTGAGCTCGGCCCTTCCCGGTTTCACACAGCCCCCAAAGTCCGCAGAGCGGCGACGCCACCGCCCGCACGGCATTGCGCGCGGCCCCGGCCCCGACGGGACCGGGCGGGGCGGGGGTCGCGCTGCACGGAGCGCCGGGGACGCGCAGGAGAGCGGATCGCAGCTGCGGGGCGCGGAGCGGCGCTGGGGCGCTGCTGCCCTCGGGCGGCCGCTGTCAGCACTGCGGGGCCGCCGCCCCCTGCAGGAGTCACCGCCCTCCCCCGCCCTCCCGCAGTGGTTCCGCCCTCGCTCCCCCCACCTCACGTAATGGCCCCGCCCGCTCCCCCCCGCCTCTCCCACGAATGGTCTCGCCCACCCCTCCGCGTGGCGCCGCCCGACGTGATGACGCACGACGCACGGCGCGTGCTGGCGCGGCGGTGTCATGGCGGCCGGAGCGGCGGGCGTGCGGCCTGGGGGTGGCTCCGGGCCGCGGGGTGCGTGCGGGAGGGTCCTATCGTGGAGGGAGTGCTGCGGACGGAAGGCCCCGGGAGGCGTCTGTGCTGAGGCAGCTTTAACCGGCGGTGCCCGAGGGTTGAAGTTTCCTGTGGAGGCCTCTTGGATGGGGTTGTGGGGCCGGGCGGCGTTATCGGAGAGCGTCCGAAGGAGGGCAGCGGGGAGAGGGAAAGGAAGAAAGGGCGACACGAGGAGGGGCGGCTGAGGGCCCTCGATTTGGTTGGCAGAGGGGCGGCGCTCATCTCTGCTCTCTGTGGCATAGGAATGGCACGGAGCTGGGCCGGGGGTCCGGCCGTGCTCGGCCCCGGGGGCGGTGGGCTCAGCCCCGGACTGCCGGAGCTCAGGGAGCATCGGGACGCCGCTCTCAGCCGTAGGGTTTGGCTGGTGCCGGGGGTTGGACCCGGGGGTTGGACCCGGGGATCCCTGTGGTTCCCTACCAGCTCGGGATGTTCTGTGGTTCTTGGAGGTGCCGTGCTGCTGGTGTCCGTTACTGCCTGCCCTCTGCTGTGTCTCCGCTAGGTGGGCCCCGAGTCCTTGCTGCTCTGCAGGAGGCAGTAGCAGAAGTTGAGCTCTAGCTTCCACAAAGGAATGGGGGAAGAACGAGGACTAAATGAGATGAGAGATCCTCCCGGTGCCCACCAGAGCCAGCTCCACAGCGGGTTAAGTGAACCGTGCAAAGTGAAGGCAAGGAAACTTTGGGCAGCGCCATGCAGTGGGCAGATCAGCTCGCTGTGGTGCGGGGTGTTGGCTGGGATGTGTCTGTGTTGGACCATAACGTTTCAGGAGGATGGGAGTGCGGTTAGTGTGACTGTTGAGTGCTCCAGCAAAACCGCTTTCTTGTGCCCTGGTTTCCCCTGCTGCAGAGAGGTGCTGACAGCCCACCTCTGCCTGCTGCAATTCCCGTGTCTTTCGTTCACCGCCTGGAATGGCAAACCAGAGCATATTTTGGACTCACTAGAGTCTGAGGTTGGGGTCCAATCCCTGCCTGCATCAGTGCGATGTGCTCAGCCCCAGAGACCCTGCAGCTACAGGATGAGGACTGAGCTGAGCAGAGCACACCAAACGAAGCTGCGATCCTACAAAGGGAGGAGTGTAATGGTGTGGGCCATGGGTAGAGGTTGCAGCAGTGGGTTGTGAGATTCTGTAATGCACAAGGGCACGGAGGCATTATTTCCCTTTTATTACAGGTTACCACAAACCACCGCTAGCAAATAAATATAATAAATATAATTTTTAAAAGGCGGATGTATCTGGATAGCAACTTCTTATAGCTATCACCAGGAAGTGTGTGTGTGCGTATATGTGTAGATAGCTCACCTTTGCAGCTACACCCATCAAGGGGCCTCAAGAATATTTCTTTGGGAAAGTGCCCTACTGGCTGGAGTCCTGTTGTCCATTTCACCCCAAAAATGTGATTTAACTGCGTGTGTTCCCCTGGTTGCCTGGCTTTCCTTGCTGGCTGGGGCACTGGGGAAAGAGGTGACAACGGACAAAAGCACTTTTCGTTAAGAGAAGATGAGCCTGGTGCCAGGCAGCCGTCCCCACCCCCAGCCCACTCAGTGGCATGCGAAGCACTCGCCCGCCTCGCAATGCGCCGGGTAAGGAAGCAACAGCTGCTGGGGTCCTTTTGCTGCCTCAGGAGCTGCGACAGCACCCGGGAGCCAGGGATCTAAATTTAAATCTGTGCTTTGTGTGCTGTGCATGCGAACGCAGCCTCCAGCCCCCAGAGTCCGGCTCCTCAGAGAGGGGGATCTGGAGGAGCTCTGGCTGGCTGGGGCTGGGGGCTCAGCCGTGGGGTGAGAGGAGGAGAAACAGCGTGGGGAGAAGCACCATGGAGCCTGCGTCCCACCAGGATGATGCAAAGAAGAGGCAACAGAAGGAGAAGTCCAAGAAACCGGTGCCACCAGTAGCCCCTCGGCCAGCCAGGGCTCTGTTCTGCTTAACCCTACAGAACCCACTGCGGAAGGCATGCATCAGCATCGTGGAGTGGAAGTATCCTTCAGGTGGGGGTGCTGGGGATCAGGACCCTCGATCTGCAGGAGGAGAGCTCGCAGCACGGTGCTGCGGTGCCATGCTTGGGCTTTGTGCTTGGCTGTGCCACTGAGCCAGTGGGGGAGCAGGAAAAGCAATTGGGGACACCTGGAGGATGTGTAAAGGGCAATGGTTGTGCCAGTTGGGGTCAGATGAGCTTGTGTGGGAAGATGGAACTGTGGAGCCATGGGGATCTTTTATGTGGTGGTGTAGGAGCAACCGGGGTGGCAAGGGGCTGCTGGGTGTGAATGTGTTTTGTGCCTGTAGGAGCTGTGCTGAGAGAACCAGGAGAGCCTGCCGGGGTGGGAGAGGTGTGGTGGGGATGGGGCCAGGCAGAGCAGCAGAGCCAGCCTGGGAAGCAGCAGCTGAAGATGGAGCTGGAGACTGCAATGAGAGGGGCTTGGGGTTAGGCAGTGAAACCATGGTGGCATCTGTTCAGCCTTTCTGACACCCTAGGCTGAGAGTAATGATACTGCCTGCTCTCCAGCTGCCTGGAAAAGATCCTGTGCCATGTCAGTGCCTCAGCTTTGTGGCTCTGACAGCAGACGCTGCAGAGCAGAGATGAGCCCCAGTAATGGGAATGTGTGCAGCGATACCAGACCCATGCACTAGGTATCCCCACAGAAGATGGGCGCAGCTAATCCCTACTTGGCAGCTCTCCTGGCCTGACATCCCTAACTGTCCCACGAGGGCTCGTACATCCTGACCCTGAAATGAGGGCAGTCAGGTGCAGGGGGGTATAAAAACAGCCGAGTGATGCCACTGAAATCCAGTGCCCAGAATTGTTTGTACTGCCCAGGTCAGAAACACCTTCCTCTCCTTCGACACTCCTTTCCTTATGCATTGATGTGAGAGAGGTCCTCTGTGATCTGCACGCTCTGGCCTGTGCTGACTCAGGACAAGGGATGTGTTTCGGTGTGCTGGAAGACATGGGGTCTGTTTCCAACTCTTCCCCTGCTGCTCGGCTGCATGCACAAGTGTCCTCCACACCCATTGCCCATTTGAGAGAAATGCAGCTCAGGGAAGGATGTGCTGGTGGGGCATCCCAGAAGCAGAAAAGGAGAATTCTCCGATTTGAGCTCTGCTCTCCTTAATGGTCAGAGAGTCCCTTTGCAGCATGGGAACAAGAGATCAGAATCCACTTCCAGCACTGCGCTGCCTGGCTAAAGTGGCAGGACCTGGGCAGTGATTCCTGCTCTGCTTATGCAGCTCTCACCAAAAAGTCACGCATCTTCCTCACCCTCCACCCCTGCACCCACACGAAGGCTGTGATGAATGGTGGCAGGGTGGGCTGCTCCTTTCACCCCCTTTGAGCAGGCACCCAGGTGTTGCTCACCCTACGGTGCCCAACCAGACAGTGGCATGACCGCTGCAGCCCTGTGCTGCGTAATTATCTGGGAATGGATATAATTAGTTGATTAACCATAGGGTAGGGAAACGCTAGTATGGCCTTAGGGCTGCTGTACTGGGATGCTGAATTTCAAGGGCTGAGCTGCAGGTGCTCGCAGGAGGCTCTGCCCAGGGCGGGATGGGACTGCGGGGGATTTGCAGTTGGCAGTGTAGTTGTGGGTAGGGATGGGGATGGCAGATCTCAAAACAGCTCAGAAGTGGGTACTGGCTGTGGTTGTAACTGTGGGTTGGAGAGGAGGAGCCACGTGAAGTGTGCTGATTTACAGGTGGAGCAGCGCTTTCCTTTCCTCCACCTGCACTTTGCTCCAGTGCTGCTGATGAGCGCAGGAAAGGCAAACGAATTGGAGAACTGGGAAGCACTCAGCAGTGAACTGGAACCAAAAACTTTTACATGTTTTGTGCCATGCTGTACCTAGAGCTGGCAGCCACAAGGTCGCCAGGTGCACAGAGAAGACTCCTTTGCTTTTAGGCATGTGCACAGCTGGAGCACAAGCCTGTGTGGCCTGGATGCGACCAGCAAAGGACAGCGAAAGAGCATGGCTGGCTACTGTTCTCCCAGGGTGGCGTGGGGTGGTGGGTTTCAGCTGTGCTAAAAGAAGGAGAGGCTGTGGTCCATGGGGTGGGAGCCTTGTCATGGCCAAGGTCCTGTGGGAACGTGAGCCCTTTTGGGACTGCTGGAATGTGACAGCTGAAGCTTGACCTTGAGGTTTCAGTGGCACAGCAGAGCAGTGACAGCAGTAGGAGTGACCAAGTGGCTGTCCCTGGGCCTTGGAGGTAAACAACAGCCCACCCCCTTTGTTCAGAGGTGCCCCAGGGCCCAGATGACCCAATTCTCTGTTCCATGGAGGGAGAGAGACTCTGGCACTCAGCAGAACAGCCATGAGTGCGCTGCTGTGTGGGCTGGGGGACGCTGAGGTGTGAGCCATGTGTCTGCTGGCTCAGCTGCCAGCCTGGGGTGGCACAGTGCACCTGAGGTCTGCTGTTCTGCAGCATCTCCCTCCTGGCAGCTGAGCACTGCAACCGCAGCCAGGGCCACCATGCTCTGGAGTGCAGTGCTCTGTGATCTCTGTTATGGGAGAGGACCTTGAAGTGGCTCGCTGAAGGATGAGTAGGGGGAACTCCCAGGTTTCCAAGTCCTCAGCTGCAGCCTTTCACTCTGTGCTTTGTCCCCTTAGGTCCTGTGCGGGTGCTGCCCCTCTCCAGGTCCTGTGTCTAACCCTGCTTCAATTCCCTGTCCTCTCCAGAGACCCAGGAATGGGCAGAGGGAGGCTGTTTCCCTGTGCTTCCCCCACACACACCCCAGCAAGGCAGGGACTGCTTTCCCATATCTCTCTCTGCTCCTTAACGCTGTTTCAGACCTTTCGAGATCATCATCCTCCTGACCATCTTCGCCAACTGCGTTGCCCTGGCCATCTACCTGCCCATGCCGGAGGATGACACCAACGTGGCCAACTCCAGCCTGGTGAGATTCAGCCCTCCTGCCATCCTCCTCTCTGTAAAGCTGCGGTCAGCCTTCACTGCTCCATGGAGCTCATCCTCAGCGTGCCTGGGCGCCAGGTGATGGCATCTGTGGGGCTGCTGCCCTGCGTGGTGGCACCACGTGTCAGTGCAGCGAGAAGCCACGAATCACTGAGACACCGCTGCAGAATGGGTCTGGAGAGTGGCTGGAAAGAACTGCAGGTTGAGGGCAAAGGCAGCTGGGTGGTGTGAGAAGTACAGGGGAAGGAAGGGTATCTCTCTTCCTTTTTTATTTTTAATCTCAATGCTTCCAAAAGGAAACTTCCTGTTCCAGAAAGGCTGAAATGCTTTGTTTTAGCATATTTGGGACTGAATTGCCTGGCCATTCATTTCTAAGCTGAATTTTAATTCTGGGACATTTTTTTAAAGAGGAAAAAATAAACCACCCAAACCTCTGTTAAGGAGAGATCACTTCTTCCCAGTCCATTATTCCGTTGTTTCCAGTCCCTCCATCTTGCCTGGAATAAGATGTTTTGGTGTGATCCAAATCAATAGCTTTCATTATTTTTAGTTCACTGTCCCTTTCCCCCTCTTAGATGCCGACTGTAGTTCAATCCGTATTGATTTCTATTGTGAGTCTGAGTTTGGGCACTGAATCAAAGCATCCGAATATGTTGTTTATACCAAAATGTTCTCTTTGCTAATTTCAGGACTCCCCAGTGCTGGGGTGGATGTTGTGTGCAGGCAGTGCTGGCGACTTGTGGCTTAAAAGCACCTCTCTGTATTCTCTGTGTCCCTCACAGAAAAATCTTAAAGTGGTCCAAAAATTTGAGATCTGGAATAGCAAGAAAGGATTTTATTTGAGCGGGTTTCTTCCCTGGCCATGGGAATGAGACAGGGTTTGAAAGGTGCGGAGAGGTCTGTACCAAGAGATGGGGATGGCAGTGACAGGGGAGAAGCAAGAGGTAGGGGTGGCAGCAGTGGATGGGATTTGGCTGAGACCAGGATGCAGGTGGGTGCAGAGCCGTGGGACGCGTGGCAGGGCCCTCACTGAGCTCATTGCATGAAGGGATTTCATCTGCTTGTATTTATTACAAATCGTTTTTTTAAATACTCTGCCCAATTTTGTTTTTCTCAGCCCGTTGCCATATCAACAGCCCCGGGTATCAGCAGCCTGGCAGCCCCGCTCTGCACATTTCTTTGTCTTCACATTCTGGTGCCTTCGAATGAGCAATCCCTGCTGTGAGCAGAGCCAGATGCCCATTGCCGCGGGTGATGCTGTGCTCTGCGCAGGGCTGCAGACAGAGCAGCAAAGCCTCGTTGGAGGCATTCCTTCCAGCAGCAGCGAGATGCTGCAATGGCTGGGGGCTGCAGGGAAAGAGGCGGAGGGTTGTGGAGGGTCCTGTGTGGCCTCAGGGTCTGGGAGCTGATGTTGCTCTGCAGGCTGGAATTGTGTTGCATTGCATCGGTGTGGTGCGCAGTGTTATTCCTGCTGCTGGGTCTCATTCAGAGCCTGCAGGTCAGGTTACTCCATGTCGCCTAACATTGTTGAAGCATGTCTGTGCAGCCCAGCAGGCTATGAAGATCCGCAGCTTTTTATAGTACTTTTTAAAGGCTGGGCTTGTTGTGCACCCAGCCCCAGGGCAATGCCAGAACAGGTATCAACCCTGCCAGAACAAAACGTCCCCTGGCTGCTTTCTGCTGCTATCCAGTGGCAGCAATAAGTCTGTCCTGGCTCAACACACGGCTTTGTGGCCTCGTGAGTCTCCTGCTCAGCATGTCCTGCAGCTACACCCATAATGCGGGGAATCCAGGAGGTTTGCTGTGATCTGCCTGAGTGAGAGGCTGTCCCACCTCAGCTCAGTGACACACTGACAGTCAGGACATGCTTTTCCTCTGCTGACATTAGCATCTGTCTACAGATTACAGCTAGACAAGGAAGGGGAAACCAGACCCACAGCTGTAGGACAGGTTATGGGGGGGATCTCTCCAACCAGCACTGATGGAACCCTGCATAGCACCTAATGACCGTGCTGTGAGCTTTCCTACTTCCTACAGAGGTGACACCAGCAGGACAGGTCAGGATGATCCAGCTCTGTGTATGTGATTGGGTCTGCAAAGCACATCAAAGAGCTGGAGCTGTACGGATGCTTGCAGCCTCCAAGGATGGAGTAACTCAGGTAGCAGGGGCTGCCTGCTGTCTCTCTCTTGGCCCAGGAGTTCACTTTTGGATGGCTGGGTGCTGATTCTGGGACCAGCCTGGGCCTTGACAGCTGCTGATCTGAAACGTGTGTGGTAGCTGTGTCTGTGTGTCTGGGATTGCAAGGATGGGCTGTGGGGGATCCGTCACTGATAAACGGGGAATGCAAGCATTGAATCAGCTTAGCTGAACGCTTGCAGTGCAGCCCTGATAAGACCCGTAAGTGCAGTGCTGAGGTCTCTGTTCTCTCCACTGCTTCCCTCAGACCTAGCGAGGTCTGGTGCTGTAGGATGGCAGTCATGCAGGGACACTTGGCATGCCCACTGCTTGTGGATGTGGCAACTGAGCAGGCACCGCGTCTGAGCCTTGGCTGTGGTTGCTGGTAAATGGGCAGTGCTTTCTATTTGTCAAGGCAATGGCCCTGGGGGGGATGCAGAGCCATGGTGTGCTGCTTCCCTCTGTCCTCTGGGTGCCATTCCTGGTGCAGAGCCCAGGGCTGCTCTGTGCCCTCCACGGGGTGCACAGTGAGGAGAGGGGCTGTGGAAAACCAGAAATATAAATATCCCTGTTCATTCGACTGCTTCAGAGGCATTTTAATCCTGGCCTGGAAAGAGCCATCAGCATGGCTGGCTGCAATGGCGGTGACAGGCAGAGCCAGGTGGGCACCCAGCTCTTGGCCGTGCTCCCGTGGAGGCCAAGCTATTCCGGGCCCGGTGGCTGTGCGGGGTGCCAGGATTCAGCTGGCAGCGGGCACAGCTCTGCATGGTGAAGCTCCAGGGCCGGTTTCCTTCCAGCAGCTCAATCTGCCATACTGGGGTCTGGTGTTAGGCGGAGGGCCTTGAGACCTGGGAGGCACCAGGGAGCCACGGCACAGCCAGCTCGTGTCATGGCGGCTGTGGGATGGCTGCAGGACGGCCCCCGGGGCCTCAGCGGGAGAGGCTGTGGGAGGAGAGCCGGGGGGGCAGTGGTGACAGCGATGCTGCAGCCGTGTGGTGTGAGGCTGAGGCTGGTGGCACTGCTCTAACAGGGTGCGTTCTGCTGCTTGCACTCCCCAGGAGAAGTTCGAATATGCCTTCCTGATCTTCTTTGCCATCGAGGCCATGCTCAAGATAATAGCTTACGGGTTTCTGTTCCATACGGACGCCTATCTCCGAAATGGCTGGAATGTGCTCGACTTCTCCATCGTGTCCCTGGGGTAATGAAGGGGGAAAGCTGTGCCGAGAGCTACATCTCCACATTTCCTGAACATCTCCAGGGACGGTGACTCCACCACCTCCCTGAGCAGCCTGTGCCAATGCTGACCACTCTTTTGGAGAAAAAATTGTTCCTAATATCCAACCTGACCCTCCGCTGGTGCAGTGCGAGGCCATCACCTCTCGTTCTGTCACTGTTACCTGGGAGCAGAGACCAATTCATGTTGCTCCAAACTCCTTTCAGATAGATGTAGAGAGCAATAACATTTGTCCTGACCTCAGCTCATTGCCTTCTCCCAAGGGCCCCATTTTCTTGCCCTGGAACCCTCTGTAACTCCCGTTTCTTCTTCCCTGTCCTCCCAGTTCCTGTCAGATCTCCTTGCCCTGGGTAGCAGGAGGGCACAGTGTTTTCCAGTGTTTGGCACAGGGAATGGGCCCACTAGGGATAGGACGGGAGGGCGCCTCGGTGCTCGGCAGAGCTGCTTGCACCAGCTGGTCTCCTGGTCTCCATCCTCATGAACTTCTCTTCCTCCTCGTCCTTCCTTCCTTCTCCCCTTTCCCCTCCCTGCACTGTGCCCTGGCTCTTTCAGGCTTGTCACCATGACCCTGGAGCAGATCAATGCAAAGGAGGGAGGGTCTCTGGGAGGGAAAGGTGGCTTTGATGTGAAGGCCCTGCGAGCATTTCGTGTGCTGAGACCTCTGCGCCTGGTGTCTGGAGTGCCAAGTGAGTGCTGGGCCCTTGTTAACAGGAGGGGCTGTGGGGTTTTGGCCATAGGACAGGTTCCGTTTGCTGCTGGTCCACAACCAGCCACAATATGGATGTAGAAGAGCTGCAGAGTGTCACATCTCCCTGCTGCTTGAATTTGTCAGTGCTGGGATCTGCAGGTCAGCATGCACATAACTCCCACTGTGGCTTGGTGTCAGCACCTTTGGGTGGTTGGTGCATTCAGGGTCTCACTTTAGTTTCTCTTGGCAGAGCTCTCATTTTCCTGTAGCTTATGTAGATACAGCTGTGAAGAGAACAACAAAACAGATGGATGGGCATGAAATAGTCTCCAGCACTGCCTGGAGAATGGCTCTGCTGGGGTGTTCCAGCTGCCTGCATTGCGGGTGGAAAGCAGCAAGAAATTGCTGCAGAGATTTCAGTTCATGTTGGGACTTTCCTTGGTGTGGGGCATTTCAGAGGGGCTGTCAGGAACACAGGGTGCACCCAAAGCTGTTTGAGATGTGGCTGAGACCCTCTCCTTTCTCCCTGGTGCAGGTCTGCAGGTTGTCCTGAACTCCATTATCAAAGCCATGGTGCCTCTGCTGCACATCGCGCTGCTCGTCCTCTTCATGATCATCATCTATGCCATTGTGGGGCAAGAGCTCTTCAAGGGCAAGATGCACAAGACCTGCTACTATCTCGGGACAGGTGGGGCTGTGGCAGGGAGTGAGAAGTCAGAGATACCTCTGTGTGCTTTTGGGACCACAGAGCCTCTGTGGTAGCAGAAAGCCTGGGAGTGTGGTGTGGCAGGCTGGAAAGGCACGTGGTACAGGACGTGGATGGGGTGAGGAAGTGGTGAAAGCCTCTGCAGGAGATCGGGGGGTGCTGGGAACTGCTCATCTTGCCCAACCTGCCACTTATGTTACGGCTTTTCCCCGCAGATGTGATTGCCACAGTAGGGTCAGAGAAGCCAGCCCCCTGCACAATCTCTGGCCATGGGCGTCACTGCTCCATCAATGGCACCGAGTGCCGAGGTGGCTGGCCGGGACCCAACAACGGCATCACTCACTTCGATAACTTTGGCTTTGCCATGCTGACTGTCTACCAGTGCATCACCATGGAGGGCTGGACCGAAGTGCTCTACTGGGTGAGCTTCAGTGGCCTGGGCTGGGTGCCCAGCTCGGTGCTGGTGAATGCTAGTTCTGCCTGGCAGGACGCAGGAGGTTAGATCAGCCCCCCACCGAAAGATGCCCTTCCCCAGCAATCTTCATACTGTGGTGCACATCCCATCATGCGCCACGCATGTCCACGTGTCACTATCCAAGAAGCCTTTGCTCTCCATGTAGACAGACAGCAGAGAGCTCTATCTCCCACCTTTGGGGAAGGGTATAGACCACTCAGTGTTTCTCCAACGAAAAAACGTGTTGTTCAGTCTTTGGGAGACTGTCTTGCTGAGGCTTAGGTATGAAGCTGATGTGTAAATCTGCTCCCAGATGCTTAGGTCTGGCTTTTCCTCCACTAAGGTAAGGAGCTAGGCTCTCAGGTGAATTTATGTCCCACCCAAACACTCCCTTCAGAGGAACAAAGCTTCTGCAGCCTGCTGGGGGCTCCCAGGAAAGACAGCTGGAAGAGCGTTTTGAGGATACATCGTCTGCCTCTCTCCTTGCCAGGTTAACGATGCCATTGGGAATGAATGGCCCTGGATCTACTTTGTCAGCCTTATTTTGCTTGGTTCCTTCTTTGTTCTCAACCTGGTGCTGGGGGTGCTCAGTGGGTAAGTGCCCCAGTCCGTTCTCTTTGCCAGATTGGTGAGCAGTGTGGACATTGCCCGTGTGGGAAGAAAGCTTTGATATTTTCTGTTCCTTGTCCTCTTTCAGTCAGCCTTTTTCCTTGCATGCTTAGAAACACTGAACCTCCAGTTACCTTTTGTACCAGCTTCTGTGACCATCTGAGATTTTAGCTCAATGCAGAATTCCTTTTCCTGCAGTACAAGCACCCATCAGTAGATGCAGCCTTTAGCGCTGGCTGGCCTGTCTAGCCGCAGCCTCCTGCAGCAAGGAGCTGCACTGGTGGTGGGGAGGAAGCCAACAAGGAGTTGGTGATATCCCATGATCTTGGATCATGGAGTGAGGCCAAGATGGAGAACAGTCAGTAGAGCGGTCTCTTGATGCTAGGGGAGTTCAGGCTGTATCCTTGTCCAAGGACCCGTCTGCCACAGGACTGTGGTACACGGCCTCTGCACAGCTTCTCACTGCTGCTTGCCTTGTCCCAGGGAGTTCACCAAAGAGCGTGAGAAGGCCAAGTCACGAGGCACATTTCAGAAGCTGCGGGAGAAGCAGCAGCTGGAGGAGGATCTGAAGGGCTACATGGACTGGATCACCCATGCAGAGGTGATGGACAGTCACCGGACCAGAGGAGAAGGTACCAGCAATCTGTGGGTCGGGTTCCTGGGTGAGCATTGGAAAAGTTGCAGACTTGTTTTGTCTAAAAACCCAGGAAACAAAATGCTTCTGCAGAAGCTCTACCTCAGCTGCTGTCCTTAGCAGACTGCAGGGTTACCAGCTCTCCCACTGGCAGATGCGCGAGTTTCCCAAGAGGGCCTGGGGAAAGACCAAACACGTCTTCCACACCTGCAGCCAGTGCTCTTCTGTTCTGCATTTACTCACATCCCAGCTGGGCCCAGTTTTCTCTGTGCTGCTGATGCTGCTGCTCTTGCTGCAGGGCGGTGTTCCTGGGGCCTGCTGGGTGTGCTGCATCTGACAGTTGCAGCCTCCTGCTCAGCCTGTCTCTGCTGTCTCACTGGGACAGCGGTTCTCCGCGTCTCTTCTGAAGAGGGCTCTCTTCCAGGCGTGCTTCTGGGAGAGATGCCCTCCTGCATGTTCTACCCAAGGGCTCCAAGGACAGCTTGGGCTGTCGTTCCCTCTGTAGGTATGATGCCGCTGGATGAAGGAGGGTCGGAGACAGAGAGCTTGTATGAAATCGAGGGCATGAACAAATGGATTCTCTACTTGTGAGTATGCACAGGTGAACCATCTCCTAGGTTTGGCTGGCAGCCCTGGCTGGGCCAGGCTTTTTGTTGTGTGGGGAGAGCTGGGGGCTGTGTGTTCAGGAGGAGCAGAGTCCCGGGAAAAGGAAGCAGAGGTGGCTTTGCTCTGTTCTGCTGGCACTGATGGCCCTGCTGACCCTGTGGCCTTCTCTCCAGCCGGCAGTGGAGGCGTTGGAACCGAATGTTTCGTAGGAAGTGCAGGCATGTGGTGAAATCCAAGTTCTTCTACTGGCTGGTCATCCTGCTGGTGGCACTGAACACCCTCTCCATTGCCTCTGAGCACCATTTCCAGCCCGAATGGCTGACGATTGTACAAGGTAAGGCCCAGGGAGAGGGAGGGTCCTGGACTCCTCACTGCCATGTAGACATGGTGGATTCTTACTGTGCCTGCACAGCCATTGGCAAAGCACAGCGGCTGTCAGACACGTGCAGACATACCCACGCACACAGGTGTGTGTGCACCATCCACACGTGCACGACTGCACATTGCACACACGTGCTGTGTGCACATACATGCATAGAATATATTCTTTGACACGGTGAACAGGCAGAGTGCATACATTTACAAGTGTACATGCATAGGCACATAAGCACACATTGCATATGCTCACACAGTACAGACACACAGCACAGGCTGTTATCACACTGCACGGCTCACAGACATGGCGTGTAGCACACATACACAGCTCAGCCGTGCGTACACTCACTGCGTGCAGACACACTCTGTGGACTCGAACATGACTGCATGTGTCACCCTTCTCCTTATCCTTTCCTGGGTCCTCCTTGGAAAGTTGCTATTGCTGCAATGGTGGCAGGGCTGGATGTGGCAGTGCTGTCCTCCATCTGTTCCTGCTGTGCCATGCTGAGATGAACAGGTCCATGCTCTCATGGCCTGAATGTCCCCCCCCAGACAACGCCAACCGGGTGCTGCTTGCACTCTTTGTGGCCGAAATGCTGCTGAAGATGTATGCGCTGGGCCTGCGCCAGTACTTCATGTCCCTCTTCAACCGCTTCGACTGCTTTGTTGTGTGTGCGGGGGTCCTGGAGATCATCCTGGTGGAGCTCAGCACTTTGTCACCCCTGGGCATCTCTGTGCTGCGCTGCATCCGGCTGCTCCGCATCTTCAAGATCACCAGGTTGGTGTGGGAGCTGGGAAGCAGAGCTGGTGTCCGCAGGTGCCAGTGGCTCCTGGGGTGGTGAACGAGGCCATGCTGGCATTCTCTTTGTCCCCAAGATGTGGTGAGAGAGTGAGGAGGAAGACAGAGCAGGGCTTAGTGGAAGTCTTGTGGTGTCCCTTGGAGCTCTGGGTGCTCAGCTTAGATAAATGGGGGTGCTGGCGCCCAGGACCAGTGGCTTCAGTCTGTCTTGCCTGTCACACCACTCTTGGAGCTCCATTTCCATCTCCTGGGGCCTGGCTGGAGGAGTCCCAGCACTCAGAGCCCATTCACTGGGTTGCCCCATTCCACCTCTTGCACACTTCTCTCTCCAGGTACTGGACGTCACTGAGTAACCTGGTGGCCTCTCTGCTCAACTCGGTGCGCTCCATTGCCTCTCTGCTCCTCCTTCTCTTCTTGTTCATCATTGTCTTTGCCCTGCTGGGCATGCAGCTCTTTGGGGGCATGTATGACTTTGAGGACATGGAAGTCCGACGCAGCACATTCGACAACTTCCCCCAGGCCCTCATCAGTGTCTTCCAGGTATGGCGCTGCAGCAAGCAGGGCAAGGGAGATGTAAGATGGGGTGCCTGGATTTTCCCTGGGCTGTGCGGCTCCTCGGGATTGGGAGAGGTATGGGTTCATGGGAGGCTGGAACAGAAAGATAGGAATGGGGTCATGAAGAGTGTAGGGTCAGGGGTGGAACAGGATGCGAGACTTGGCAGCGACACTGGAGCAGGACTGAGCTTGGGGTTATGTCCTGCTTCTCCTCACACTGTGTCTGCTCTTCTCTCAGATCCTGACTGGAGAGGACTGGAATTCAATAATGTACAACGGGATAATGGCTTATGGGGGCCCATCCTTCCCCGGCATGCTGGTCTGCATCTACTTCATCATCCTCTTTGTCTGTGGGAACTGTATCCTCTGACGTCAAAGCTGTGTCCAGGCTCCGTCCCACCCCCATAGACTGCTCCAGCTGCACAGGACTGTGCAGACTGCTCTGTGTGTGTGTGTGTGTGTGTGTGTGTGCGTGTGTGTGTAAGGAGTGATCTGAAGGACGGGGCCATCAGCCCAGAGCTCAGCACTTGAATACACAGGGTCAGGGATCACCAGCCAGTGCTGTAACAAGAGCTCATCTCCAGAAAGGTTTCTCAGAGCAAAGCAGAGGCTGCAGACAGCCCTGGCCATATCCTCCAAACACAGCCAAGTTCATATCCTTAGTGCTAGCCCTCCAGATATCCTCCTCAATGTCTTCCTGGCCATTGCAGTTGATAATCTGGCTGAGGCTGAGAGCCTGACCTCAGCTCAGAAGGCCAAAGCTGAGGAACGCAAGCGGCGGAAGATGTCCAGGTGAGTGCTGCAGCACAGGGCAGTGGGAACTCCCCAGCCAGGTGCTCTGGACAACAGGACTGAATGGTATTACCTGTGCCCCTGCCCTGAGTTCTGTCCTTGTTTTCCTCTGCCCTCCACTCAGAGGTTACCCAGAAAAGTCTGAAGATGAAAAACAGATGTTGGCAAAGAAGCTTGAGCAGAAGGCGAAGGGAGAAGGGATTCCCACAACAGCCAAGGTCAGTGCTGGTGGGTTGGGCCCTGGGGAGGTCTTGGTGGAGAAGCAGGTGCCTCCTGCCACCAGCCAGGGCTGACAAAGGCTTGGAGCTCACCTGAATATGGCACACTTACCTGCATGTCTGCCTCTCGGTCTCTCTTTCAGTTGAAAGTGGATGAATTTGAATCCAATGTCAATGAAATCAAAGATCCCTACCCCTCCGCAGACTTCCCAGGTCAGTCCAGAAATAGTGGGGATGTTGCAGAGGGACGCTGCTGCAGCCTGGCTGTGTAGTGAAGGTTACGACATCGGGGCACTGAGGTTACATTGCTTCTCTTGCAAAACTTCCTATTGACCACCCTGCAGGTGATGATGAGGAGGATGAGCCTGAAATCCCCCTGAGTCCTCGGCCGCGTCCTCTGGCAGAGCTCCAGCTGAAAGAGAAGGCTGTGCCTATGCCTGAAGCCAGCTCCTTCTTCATCTTCAGCCCAACAAATAAGTAAGCGCTGAGCCTTCTCCCTGCTACTGGCACAGATATCCCTTTGTGCCTGGGGCCTTTCTGTTCTCAAGACTTAGCCAGAATTCTCTTGCTGGCTACCATGGCTCCCACCTAATGTCCCTCTTGCAGTGTCTTACGCTGTCTTTGTCTCCTGCAGGTTTCGGATGCTGTGCCATAGAATCGTCAACGCCACTTGGTTCACCAACTTCATCCTGCTCTTCATCTTGCTCAGCAGCATCTCCCTGGCAGCTGAGGATCCCATCCGAGCCGAGTCGTTCCGCAACCAGGTGCCTGTGTGGCTCTGCAGGGCTGCGCTCCTCCATGCGCAGAGCGGAGGGCAAAAAACAGTGGCAGGCCTTTTGAAATTGCTGCGTTTCTCATCTAATTCTGGTGCTTGTGCCCCCAGATTCTTGGATACTTTGACATCGGTTTCACTTCTGTCTTCACTGTTGAAATTGTCTTGAAGGTAACTCTCTCTGCTTCTGTGGTCCCAGCACATGGGTCTAGATGTGCTCTGGCCATGGGTACAAGCGCCAGTCCCCACGAGGGGAAGCTGTTAGCTGAGCCTAGAGTTCTCAGAGCTCGTGATGCCTTGGCAATGCGTGATCTGCCCCAGGGGCCTTGTGCAGTCAGGTCAGGCAGCTGTGTCAGCTGTGCTGTGGTGCTGGGACAGATGGGCTACAGCGACAGCGTTTTTGTGAAGAAAAAAAAACAGAAAGAGTAAGCAATGACAATCTGTGAGTTAAACAGTAATTCAAGCAGCTGCTGCATATTGCTCTCACTGTAAGACATGTACTCTTCTCCAATTTGCTGAATGACTGGAAGAATTTTGCTTCCAGCCAGTGCTATGCAGAGGATTCCAGCTGCAGCCAGCTGTCTGCCTGGCTTCAGAGCCAGGGTGGGAGCAGCACAGAGCCCGCAGAGCTGCAAGAAGCTCCCTGCACCCTGTCTGCCTGGGGCTGCAGAGGGACACTGCCCCGAGCCCTGCTTTGCTGCTCTGCTAACTGCTTCTGCTCTCCAGATGACAGCATACGGTGCTTTCCTGCACAAAGGCTCCTTCTGCAGGAACTCATTCAACATCCTCGACTTGCTGGTGGTTGCTGTGTCCCTTGTCTCCATGGGATTTGAGTAAGCACCTCCATGCTTTGTGGAGCAGGCACTGATTGCTTTGCCTGGTGGGGCAGCTGGGGTGGTGCAGCTTGTTCTGTTGGGTAGAAAAGGAGCTGCTAACCCTGGGCGGCGTGTTAGCACCCAAAAATTGTAGCTTTGTGGCCATCAGGCATGGGTGGGAGGCTGGGAGGCAAACTCCTTGAGTAACAAAGGAAAAGTTCTGGGTGGGAATTCAGTCTGGAGTCACTTTGTCCCAGCGGTGGTGTCCCTAACCCTGGTGTGGAATGATGGCTGCAGTGATATCTCTGCCATCCCTCAGTGCTGGAGCCTTGCTGGGGCTGTGCTGGGGTGCCAGCATGGAGGGAATTGCTCTGTCTCAGCCCTGCCTTCCTCCTCAGGTCCAGCACCATCTCAGTGGTGAAGATCCTCCGGGTGCTGAGGGTGCTGAGGCCTCTGCGAGCCATTAACAGAGCGAAGGGTCTGAAGGTAAGAGGTGGCTGGGGTCCTCAACCCATGGGAGGTTATGTGTCAGGCTTTGCGCCCTGTAGGGTTCACAGGGCTGGGAGCACAATTCCCACACCCCATCTATGGAAGGAGCTTGCTCCATCCACTGCCCCTTAGCAGATTCCTGCTTTACACGTCTGTCCCTGCTGTCAGTGGGCCAGGAGCAGAAGGTGAGACTTTGCCGCAAGCACACTCACGTGTCCTCTGTCCTCAACCTCTGCAGCACGTGGTCCAGTGCGTGTTCGTGGCCATCAAAACCATTGGTAACATTGTGGTCGTCACGACGTTGCTGCAGTTCATGTTTGCCTGCATCGGGGTGCAGCTCTTCAAGGTGAGAGATGTCTCAGATGGGCAGGAGATGGGCAGCTTTGTTCTAAAAACTGAGCCCAAATTCCTAACTGATGTGGGGATAGCTTCCAGGACTCCCTGCAGACTGAACTGATCTATCAGCATGTGTTAACTTCCAGTTCATTTACTTTGGTTGCCTCTTTATTTTCCAAGTAGTTTGCTGCCAGGCAGAATGAGCTGGTAATGCCTCAGCTTGGGGCTCTGGAAGAAACGTTGCCACTGCATCACTAGGCAGCGTTTGTCTGTCTTGACCTAGGATTGACCAAAGGGTCTGCCCTGCCCCAGGGCGCCCTGTAAGCGCCAGGCTGGGTTGTGCTGGCAGCACATAAGCATGCTGGGCTGAGGCAGAGGCCAGAGCTAGCATGGTGGCTGGGAAGGGACTGATGGGTCTGTGCAAAAGTCAAAGCTCACAGCAAAATCACAGCTTTTTCTGATCTCTGTCAAATGCAGGGCAAGTTTTACAGCTGCACAGATCCCTCCAAGCTAACAGAGAAGGAGTGCAGGTAAGAGCTCCCCGCAGCGCAGCCCAGTGGGGCAGCAGCAGAGAGTATGGGGACATTTTTGTGCCTGCAGGGGGATCTTGCAGATAAAAATAAGGGGCTGGAGGTCCTGTGCTGCTGCCCCTCATCCTGGGGCAAAAATAGCACAAGGTCACGTCCCCTCCCAGGGGTAAGCAGTGGGTGGGCAGGTGCTGTGCTGGGTGAGTACCGCATCTCTTCTGCTGCAGGGGGCATTTCATCAACTACGTGGATGGGGACCCAACACAGATCGAGCTGAAGGAGCGGGTCTGGTTCCACAATGCCTTTCACTTCAACAATGTCTTCTCAGCCATGATGTCGCTTTTCACTGTCTCCACCTTCGAGGGCTGGCCAGAGTGAGTCTGGTGTGTGCAGGGCCAAAGGGCCGGGTCTGTGCTGTGAGCTGGGGAGCCTTTACCAGGGAAAGAAGAGCTGCCCGGGCTGAGGAGCAGGGCTAACCTGGTAGGGGCTGTGGAGCCAATGGGATGATCTCCTGTTCCACCTCTGTTGGATTTAGGATGTCCCCAGCGTTCTCCGTGTCCTTCAAGAAGACAGATGGGCTTCCTCACTTAACCGGGGTCTCTATTGCCTTGTTTTCCCTCCTGTAGGCTGCTGTACAGGGCCATTGACACTAATGATGAGAACAAAGGCCCTATATACAACTACCGGGTGGAGATCGCAATGTTCTTCATCATCTACATCATCCTCATTGCCTTCTTCATGATGAACATCTTTGTGGGCTTTGTCATTGTCACCTTCCAGGAGCAGGGGGAGAGCGAGTACAAGAACTGCGAGCTGGACAAGAACCAGGTACTGGAGCTGCTGGGATGGGGTGAGCTGGACCAGCCCCGGCTCTGATTGACTGCATCAGCTCTGGGTGCTGGCACTGCTGCCCTGGATGAACTGACCCTTCCCCAGGTTCAGTTCACGCCGGCTCTGTGCCTGTGCCCTGGCACTGCCCCGTGCAGCTCCATGTGGTCACACTGCCCTGCTCTCCCCAGCGCCAGTGTGTGCAGTACGCTCTGAAGGCTCGCCCGCTGCGGCGGTACATCCCCAAGAACCCCTACCAATACCAGATCTGGTACGTGGTCACCTCCTCCTACTTTGAGTACCTCATGTTCTTCCTGATCATGCTGAACACCATCTGCCTGGGCATGCAGGTAAGGGATGGAGTGCAGGGCTCGGCAGGTGGAGGGGTGTCCATGGCTCCCCGAAACCCTTCCTGGGGTCTTTCTTACATGGCCACGCTGCTGGCAAGGGACAAAGTGGGGCAGACTGGATGAGGGGAGCTGCAGGAAGTGGATTTTCATTTTTGCTGACCCCTCCTGAGCCATGGGTCTGGAAGAGGATGGACCTCATGCAGCCACGCCTCTGGGCTTACAGGGGAGGCTGGGACTGCTGTGGGCTAATGGGATTCTCCTGCCTTCTCAGCATTACAACCAGTCTGCAGAAATGAACCACGTCTCAGACATCCTCAATGTGGCCTTTACTGTCCTCTTCACCCTGGAGATGATGCTCAAGCTCATGGCCTTTAAAGCCAAGGTGAGAGCAAGGCACAGTCTTTCACAGAGCATTGCATTTTGCAGTGAGGTGGTCTTCCTCATCCTGGGTGGTGCTATTTGGGCTGCTCACTTTCCTGGTGTTCCTTGCTGCTGGTGGACCGCTGGGCTCTGCCAGCCCTGTGCTTGGGGCAGCACCACAGCCTGGCAGCTAAGGTGTGGGGTCTGCTGAGCCCCTCTTGTTAGACTCTCATTTCTATGGGTTCCAGCACAGGTTTGCTCTTTCCTGGCAGGGCTACTTTGGGGACCCCTGGAATGTCTTCGACTTCCTCATAGTGATTGGCAGCATCATCGATGTTATCCTCAGCGAGATTGATGTAAGTGTCACACTGGTCGGGCAGAGGGTGTCCCAAGGAGCATCAGTGCCTGCAGCACCTGCCCCAGGGTGAGCTGGTGATGCCTCAGCTCTGTGGGGCACAGCCATCCTCTCTTCTCCCTCTGCCACGCTCTGAGGAGGGACAAGCCAGGATCAGCCTGTGGCATGGCTATTTCATGGACACAGGGGTCTGTACCCAGCCTACCAACATGTCACTCTGTGCCCTCCCTTCTCAAGAGCCTGTAGACACTGGGATCCCATGGCAAGCAGCATACCTGGTCCCAGCTGGGCCATGAGCAGCACAGTGCGCGGCAACCCCAGCCCCGCTTGCCCTGCTTGTCTTCCACATGTGCCCCTCTGGACAGGGAATCTGCCATGTGTCCATCCTCAGATCCTCAGTGCACGTGGGAAGAGGGTGCTCCCCTCAGTTCCCTGTGCTCACAGCACACTGCTGGCCCGCGCTGTGGGCGGATCAGACACGTCAAATTTCAGTGCATTTGCTTTGTGTGTGTCCTTGTATGCAGCAATCAATACGCTGTCTGCGTATACGTGCACATGTGTGCACTATGCACTACTGCAGAACTCTATACCACACACACTGAGTGAAGGGGTGAGGCAGGCAGTGGCTAATTGCTGAATGCTTTACTGGGAGCACTTTCAGAGCAGCGTTGGTGAGCCAGCATGCCACTGCCTGTCACAGCACAGGGACTTCCACGCCCCATGTGGAAGGAGGGGGGTCATGCACTGCCTTTGACGCATCCCACAGTAACTGGGAGCACTGTAGGATCAGGTGCCACAGCCACGGTGTGCTGAGTGACCTCCGGCTGCTCTCAGTGCTGGGCAGAGAGTGCTTAGGGGCTCTTTGTTGGCAAACCACCTTCCTCCCTCGAGGACGCTCCAGGGCTCACAGAGCCTCAGATGTTCCACCCTGCATGGCCATTCTTGGAGCCTCTGGGCTTCTCAGCCTCGCTGTGCTCCCGGTGAGTGCCCAGGAGCTGTGTGCAATCACTGCATCCACCACTGCTCGCCTTGCTGCTGCAGGGCTGTTGGTGGCTGGTGCTTTGTCAAAAGTGTGACCCTCACAAAAGAAGTCTGCGCCCAACTCTCAGTGCTGAGCCACTCCTGAGTGCCCCAAGGCTCTGGTTTGCAAAGTCTGTCCTTTCTTCCTCTCTTTCCATTCCGCTTCTTTTCCACTCCTTCATGTCTCTGTCTGTCTGGGATGAGAATGTGCTATCAGGAGACCTCGACTCCTCCCAGAGCCCAGGTTCTCACTGTTGTTCCATCACCAGGTTCCCACAGACCCCATGGGATATTCATAGAATCAAAGGAAGGCTTGGGATGGAAGGGACTTCAAAGATCATCCAGTTGCAACCGCCCTGCTGTGGGCAGTGTTGCCAGCCGCTAAATCAGGCAGTAGATCAGGCTGTCCAGAGCCCCACCACCCGGCCTGGCCTTCATCACCGCCGGGGATGGGGAACCCTCTGCTCTCGGGAAGGGGGAAGTGGAGATGGGAGACCCTCTGGCAGTGCCGCCTGGTGCAGAACACGGGGCTGGCAGTATCTGTGCACGTTGGAGCTGGCTCCCCAGCAAACCAGTGCTGTGTGCTGGGTTTTCAAAGAGGCAGAGCAGGAGCAGCACAGTCTGCAGGGCAGGGAGCTGTGGGTTAGCTTCAACCTGTCAGCTGGCCTCCAGATCCCACCTGCCGCATCATGTGCCTGGTCTGGTGGTAACTGCTGGCAGGCAGCTAAATCCCCCTGTGCTGAGCTTTTGCACAGATTTCCTGGCCTGTGTGTCTCTGTTCCAGGTGCATGGGTGAGGTGCAATGGGGCATGGAGGTGATAAGTCCCTTGTGGTCACTGTGTTCCTATGGCCATCTGTCTGCTGCCTCAGCCCCACAAAAGACACAGTGCCTTTTCTGATGAGCCCCATTGTTGGCTTCCTGCCCATCCTTCCCCTGTGCTCCTCACTCATTCTCCTCCTCCTGTCCCCAGTTTCTGTCTTACTCTTTCTTCTGTGTCTGCACCACCACCTTCTGCAATCACTCCTCTCTCATTTCTGCCTCCCTTCTGACTCTCTTGTTCTCTTGACAGACTGTTCTTGCATCCAGTGGTGGATTGTACTGCCTTGGCGGAGGCTGTGATAACATTGTAAATATCAGCTGCATGTGCTTGCAGTGGCTCCCTTCCCCCTTTGCTGCCCTTACCCTTGCCAGCCTTCCTGTGGCCAGCACATGCACGTGTCCTGCATGTCATGAAGACACACCAAGCCCTGCTGCTTTCCCCTGGTGTGCAGATCTCCCCTCTGGAAGCCCAAGTGCCAACGGGTAGAGTTTGCCTGTCGGGGGCCCACGTGCAGCACTGGAGGCTGGTGCATCCCTGAGCCCCCAGTTGCCCCCAGGGAATCTTCTTGGGGGTGCCAGGGTGCTGGGCACTGGAAGAGGTTGTCCAGAGAAGCTGCGAGTGCCCCATCTCTGGAGGACTGGGGACCCCTACCCCCCCCGTTCCTCTCTTGTCTGCTGTCCTCTTCTGCCTGCAGGACCCAGATGACAACTCCCGTGTCTCCATCACTTTCTTCCGGCTGTTCCGGGTGATGCGGCTGGTGAAGCTGCTGAGCCGGGGAGAAGGTGTCAGGACCCTGCTGTGGACCTTCATCAAATCCTTCCAGGTCTGTGAGGAACAGCACTCCCCTCCATAGACAAGCATCGACCCTGGGCTGGCAGAGAACTCCTCCCCTCAGGCTGCAGGGAGCTGGGCATCCGTGCATGAGAACTGGAGAGTGAGGCTGGTGGGAGGGTGTCTGGGGGCTGAGGGGGGCAGAAAGCTGTCTTTTCTTCATGTGCAGGCCAAAGTGCTGACCCCTGAGCAGCTCCAGAGCCAGTCTGCTGTCCCTGGGTCACTTTGGTCCTACGCTGATGTCTCTCACACGCTGTGGTCCTTTTGTCACAGGCTCTGCCCTATGTTGCCCTGCTGATCGTGATGCTGTTCTTCATCTATGCTGTGATTGGGATGCAGGTGAGAGAGGCACAGGGAATTCCTCTTGAACAGAGATAGACCTCAGCCTGGTAGCATCTGGGAGATGAGATGGAGAGGGACTGGCTTCTCTGCCAGCCACTCCCAGGGACTGCATATGTTGGGACCATTTTGCCCTGGTCTACAAGGATGCACCCAATCCCAAAAGCCTCAGCACCCAAAGAACAAGCAGAAAGGGAACTTAAAGACAGAGGCTTTGGAAGGTAGAGAGTGCCTGAGGAAGGATGCTGGAGACCTGAAGGTGTGATTTACAGATGTTTGGGAAGATTGCCATGGTGGATGGAACCCAGATCAACCGAAACAACAACTTCCAAACCTTCCCACAAGCTGTGCTGCTGCTCTTCAGGTCAGTGCTGGCAGCTGCAGAGGGGAGCTGGGCTGCAGGTCAGTGTGGAAGCCCTCTGGTTTGGAGTAAGGGACACCAGCGTTTCTGCAGCTGATTTAATTTGCTTTCCTCAAGAAAAATGTCTTGTAGGAATGGAAGCATTTTAGGAGTGGCTCTTGCTTTCCCTGGTGCGGCTGAGCTGCAGACCAGGAGTCCTGTGGGGTTTCTGTTCTGAATGTTTCCTTCCAAGGCTAGATTTTAATCAGTGAATTTTTCAGAAAAGGGGGAACAAAGAAGCAGACCAGGGCTTCCCTTGACTCCAAACACTTCCCAGCGGAGCATGCAACAACAGCTCCCAGCAGCAACCCTTCTCCCCAGGTGTGCCACGGGGGAGGCCTGGCAGGAGATCCTGCTGGACTGCAGCTACGGGAAGCGGTGCGACCCTGAGTCCGACTACGCGGAGGGCGAGGAGTACACCTGTGGCACGGGCTTTGCCTACTTCTATTTCATCAGCTTCTACATGCTCTGTGCCTTCCTGGTATGGCAGCTGCTGCAGTCTGAACTCCCTTTCACACACCGCTCCTGGTTCGGGGCAGCTCCTGGCTGCTGAGCATCTCCTGGGGCTGACCACTGCGCCTTCCTCCCAGAGGCACAAGTCCCCCAGCCCATCTCCCTGGCCGTGTTGCGCCTGGTGCCGCGCTCCATTGAGGCCCCAAATCCCCTGAGTCCCATCACACAGCTCCATGTGCTGCCGTCCAGACGAGCGCTGATGTCCATGTTGTGTCATGCGGGTGGAGGGGGAGAGCTGCCCCGAATTGCTGCAGCCTTTCACATAATGCTCTCAGATGGGAGGTTCAGCTCCGTGTGGGGTCATCAGGAACATCTGTGAGCCCCTTCTGACCCAGGACAGCAACCTTCAGCCCTCTCCTTTGCCCTCAGATCATTAATCTCTTTGTGGCCGTCATCATGGACAACTTTGACTACCTCACACGTGACTGGTCCATCCTGGGCCCACACCACCTGGACGAGTTCAAACGGATCTGGGCTGAGTACGACCCCGAAGCCAAGTGAGTGACCATGTGGCATGGCAGGTGGAGAGCAGCGCCAGGACCTGGGGCTGCCCTTTGCTGCAGCCCAGGGCAGAGTGAGCTGTAGTGCTGCCTGGCATTACATTCCACAGCAGAAGTGTGTGTGGACTTGCCAGCTTGTCCCAGACTGACATAAGCCATCAGGAGGTTTGGGGACACCAGACCCCCAGTCCTAGCCTCATCCAGTCCAGATGCTGCTGCTGACTCTTTCCATGCACTGCTCACCTTTATCTACCATCTGTTGCCTTGGGGAGCAGTCATTTCCCCCAAAAGGAGCACAGAGAAGGGATTTACCCACCACAGGAGTACAGGGCAGGCCATGAAGATGATCCCACACAGCCCTTGCTCAAAACCTTGTCCCTGTTTGCATGCCACAGCCCTGCTGACACAGCTTGTCTCCTCCCCAGGGGCAGGATCAAGCACTTGGACGTGGTGACCCTGCTGAGACGTATCCAACCTCCCCTGGGCTTTGGGAAGTTTTGCCCTCACCGTGTAGCTTGTAAGGTAGGAGCCAAAGAGATGGGAGGGTGTGGGCAAGAGCACCTTCCCAGGCTGCATCCTCCCCTGGGAGGATGAGGAGGAGAGTTCAGCTGGCTTCCACTGTCTTCATTCATGCTCATACTCCGACTTCTGGTATTTACTGGGGAGGATCTGTCAGGGAAATGAGCAATACTGCAACCTGGGTGGAATTGATGCATTTCAGGGTTCTGGGATTCAGGACCTGTCTGAGCCCATCTCCATCCCCAGGGAATGGCACTGAGGTGCTGCTCCCCCACAACCCTCATTGCAGAGAGTTTTCCAAGCTGTGCTTGGGTGCTCCCCATCTGTGCATCCTCATCTCCACCAGGGAAGTTGAAGCCTCCAGTCTTGGGCACACTCTCCTGGCGTATCTCTGCACAAAGCCAGGGGCTGTGAGAGGCTCACAGGAAGGGCAGCTTGTACCTCTGTGGGGAGCTTACAGCCTGCTCTGCCACCCAGCTCACAGCTGCTGGTTGTTTTGCAGCGCCTGGTGTGCATGAACATGCCCCTGAACAGCGATGGCACTGTCACCTTCAATGCAACACTCTTTGCGCTGGTGAGGACAGCCCTCAAGATCAAGACAGAAGGTATGAAGGCTGATGTCTGCTTCCCCAGCATGGGGAACCATCTCCTTGTGCTGCAGAGTGCACGTTGTGCACCCTTTCCTGCCCTGTCTGAGGACCTCAGGGTGCCTTGCTGGTGGGGCAAGACCCTCTGTTCCAACCCTCAGCTTTATGTCAGTGTTGGTCCAGAGACCATGGGCACATGCAGGGGGATGAGGCCAAGCCTGGAGGTTGTTTGTGTTGCAACCATGATGAGCAAACCAATGCCACCCCAGCTGTGTAACTTCACTGTGCAGATCGGGAGCACTTCTGACCCAGTTCCAATTCCTGCCTCAGAGCTCAGCTGCTAGACTCCTTCCCACATGCTGAGTGTAGTCTGATCCCCTGCACCTGCCATAGCACTGGTTGTTCCAGTTCTGCATCTCCCCAGGTGTGCATAGACCTCAGACTGGAGTGGAAAAGGATGGCTCCTCTTTGAATTTAGCTGTGCTGGGGAGGAGTTGCTTTCTTCCTTGCCAGCAGCATGGTTTGCAAAGCTCTGCTTTGGTAAGAAACCACACCAACTTGTTTCCATGCCTGTGGGTTAGGCAGCAGCATATGAGAAGCCAGCACAGCAGGAGGTGGAGCTGGGCTGTGGGGCCAGCTGAGGCCAGCATCTCCCAGTAGCAGGGCACGGAGCCTTCCCTTCAGCTGGGGTGGAGAACACAGCATCCAGCACGATGCAGGGAGCATTGGGAGGATCACAGGAGATCTGAGAGCATGGATGAGCACAGACTTTTGGTAAAATCAAAGCCTAATTCCTACAATCTGCTGGGTGGGGAGACTGACGAGGAGCTGTCACACCCTGCAGGAGTCTGGCCAGGTTTCCACACTTTGTCTTTGTTCATGTCCATGTTCCCCTGAGAATGAACACCTTTGTCCTCCCTTTTCCCACAGGTAATTTTGAACAGGCCAATGAGGAGCTCAGAACCATTATCAAAAAAATCTGGAAGCGAACCAGTATGAAGCTTTTGGACCAGGTCATCCCACCTATTGGAGGTACGTCACCCACTGGTATTTCCCCAAGGGCTGATCTCCCCCTGCCCGGGGGCCTCAGCTCTGCAGCAATTCAGGGCAGCATGGTGGGCAAAGTCATCAGGTTGGTTTCCTCCCCTCCAGATGATGAGGTGACAGTGGGCAAATTCTATGCTACTTTCCTCATCCAAGAGCATTTCAGGAAGTTCATGAAGCGCCAGGAGGAGTACTATGGATACCGTCCCAAGAAGAACCCTGTAGAGATCCAGGTTGGTAGCGTGGTTGGTGGAGGTGATGCTATGTGAGGACAGGAGGCATGATGGGGCATCCTGCAGACAGGGGAAGGGGGCTCTCCCAACTCTAGAAAGCCCGTGGTGACTGGGAGAGACAGGGCTGAAAATGGACATGGGGACCTCTGTCCCTTAGGTTCTGGCAATGAGGTGGCCCCAAGTGAATCAGTGCTGAGTTGGTCAGCAAGCACAGAACCAACCAGCCTCAGGGTCCCTGGGAGGGGCAGCTGGCAGGGCAGCATGGTTCACTGTGGCCTGGAGACCAAACTCCAACACATTTCCTTCTCTAAAACCCAAAGTGAGAGGGGTTGTAGTGCCAGCCCACATCCGGCCGTGCTTTCCTGTCCATCAGGCTGGGCTGAGGAGCATTGAAGAAGAAGCCGCTCCTGAAATTCATCGAGCCATCTCTGGGGACCTGACTGCTGAGGAAGAGCTGGAGAGGGCAATGGTGGAAGCTGCCATGGAGGAGGGGATCTACAGGGTGAGCACAGCCAGGTGGGAGCAGTCCTACCCACTGCCATGCACTGCGGCTCAGCATGGGTACAGCAGATAGAGAACAGTCCTCAGAGATGAGCCTGACCATAAGCAAAAAGTACACAACAGTGCTCTTCCCTGAGGATCAGGACATCCTGGGCAGTCTGGGCTCTGGTCTCGCAGTGAAGGATTTCTGCTGTGTCCAAAAGCGCTGGCAGCCCAGAGGGTTTGTCACACCCCGGTGCTGCTGCGTTATTTATTACATCCCCTCTCAGTTTCCCCACCTGGGCAGTGCAGCCTAGAACACCACAAGCACGAGGCTGCCATTCCACGGGCACCCAAACACATTTCCTCCACGGGAACGGCCCCAGAGCTCTGCGTCTCCTGATGCCCTCCTGTTGCTTGCAGAGGACGGGCGGTTTGTTTGGCCAGGTGGACAGCTTCCTGGAGCCAAGCAGCCCCCTGCAGCCCCACATGGCCAGCCAGAGGCCCCTGCAGTTTACAGAGGTGGGCAGCGAAGACCTCGACTCCCCCGTCTTCCTCGACGACTTCCCCCAGGAAGGCAACACCAACGTCAACAACGCCAACTGGCTGCAGGGGTAAGGGCTGGTGAGCGCCCTGCGGGCTGGGGGGGGGAGCCGGGCTGGGTGCCAGTGCAGAAATGACCCTGCAGACGCAGAAGCTTTGTGGAGAAATTTGGCCGTTGGATGGGAGGCATCGCCAGAGATGTCCCCAGGGTGGGATATGCAGGGGGAGCGCGCTCTGGATGTGGGCTGTCTTACCTAATTGCAACGTGCTGAGGCAGCAGCAGTTGTGGTCCTCGGAGAGGGCCATGAGAACCAGGAATATGTCAGTGTTTCTTTCTTCTCCCTGAGCATCAGGTCATCCTGCGTGGCCTGTTTCCTGCCTCAGTTTCCTCCTCTATAAGAGGACCCTAATTATTAACATATATGGTAAACGTGTGGCTCCGTGCACTGTGCGCCCTGAACACCTTTCTCATCATTCCTTCATCTTAGGGCCATTAGGATCAAGGTAGACACAGGAAATGCAGGGATGACCTTTTCCCTTCCCCACCAATCTCTGAGTGCCAAGGGCCACCAGTGCCTAAAGCGAGTAGAAGGGTTACCGGTGTAAGAGAACATCCTTATCCTGATTCTTGGGGTCTGCACATTATTCACCAATCCCAGAGTGGAGAAGATGGGGAGGGCTGCATCCTGGGTTCAGGGTGGTGCTCCCTGCTCCGCTGACCCCTCTGCCTGTCCCTACCAGGTTGGAGTACGAGGATGAGGTGCTGAGGAGAGCAGTGCTGGCAGCACCCAGGCCTCCAGCGCGGGGTGAGTGTCAGCATCATTCCAATTCTGGGGCATGTCAGCCTGCCTGGGGTGGTGGAAGGCGCTGGTGACAGAATGCAGGAGGAGGAGCTGCAGCCCCTAGCAGCTTGGAGGGCCAGCTGAGACCCCTGAGCTCAGTGGAACCTGTCTGGAGAGCTCCAAGACCTGCATGGTGGTGGAGCATGGAGCTGTGCCTTGGGCTGAGGCAGGACCAGGAGCCCCATGCAGCGAGGCCACAAGGCCATGTTCATTTCCAGGAGTAGAGGATCATGGACTGTTCCTCCTTCCTGACTCGGATTGAGGAGCAAATGTGGGGCAGAGGCGGGAGCTGGGATTTCCATTCGTCCCATCCCCTAGATGCAGTCTCCTCGGTCTTGATCCCCTCTGGGCTGTGATGGCCTTGCTCGTGTGCCCATCTCAATTCCCACCTTTCCCTCTCCTAGAGACTGACCTCCCCATCCCTTTGGAAAGGCTGCGGCAGAGACGAGGAGCTGCCTCTGAGCATCACCCAGCATCGGGGCAGTGCCTCCATCCCCAGCAGGTAAAGGGGACAGCATGAGTCCAAGGGAAGCAAAGTGGGGTCATAGGCTAAACATCCTGGGAAGGAGCATCTCCCTGCATGGGCCCAGCTTTGCTGGAGCCTCCTTTCCTCATCAGCTCGGGGAAGGAGCCCCCGCCTTGGTGCTGATCCATGCTGGGGAAGCTCAGAGCAGCATCCCTCATGCTTCTGGAGACAGAAAAGGACAGAAAAAATAGGGTCTCAGAGTTGATCCCACACTCCTCTGCTGCCCTTGGCTGTCTGTGCCCTGTGCTTGGCTCTTGCCTCAGTGCCCAGGTAGGGAGGGAAGGGTTGGTTCCCTGCTGGTCCTATTGCTGGTGTTGCACTGGACCCAGGAAATTCAGAAGGATGGGAATCCTTGTGCAGCCTGGGTTGCACCTGAAAAAATTAACACAGAGGTGTTCCATGATTATCACCATACTTGAGCTGCAGATCCTTGCTCCTTTCATCCAGGGCAACACAGTGACAGCAGCAGCATCCAGCTCAGAACACCGGTGGCATGAAAGCACTGACACAAACACGTCTTCCACCCCTGCCATCACCTTCCTCATTCAAGAGGTAATGTGCAGACTGGCAGAGGGAAAAGGGGGTGGTAAGATTCCATGGTGGAAAACTGAGGGGAAGAGCTTAGCTGGGGAGGTGGGCAGCAGGGCGAAGGCAGTGAGTGCGAGCCCTTCTGCTACAGACTTTTTCCACACAGGGCTGTCGATCCTTTCCTCTGTTGCAGGCTCTGATCTCCGGGGGCCTCGCAGCTCTGGCCCGTGACCCATCCTTCGTTGCAGTGACCAGGGATGAGATGGCAGCCAGCAGTCAGCTGGAGGTGGATGAAGTGGAGAAAGCAGCAGTGGAGCTGCTAAAGGGAAGAGAAGCACTGTGGGACACAGAAAGCAGCTCTGCCCCCCGGGACACCTTGGCTGCATCAGAAGTCAGCGCCCCAGGGCTCAGTGTGGCCACATCCCATCAGACCAGCTCTGCTGCTCGCCTGTGAGCTGCCTGCCATGCAGCCCCGTGGGTACAACCCCATCAGGGGGGATAACAGAGCAGTGCTGCACCTCTCCCCATCTTTGCCTGTGGGGCTGCTGGGCTCTGTCTGGCCACAGGAGGCTTTTTGGACTGAGGCTGCAGGATGCTGGTGACAGGACAGGGTGATGCTGTGCCAGAATGGTCTTTGCAGGAGCTGCACAGATCATTAAAGTGTCCCTGCTGTGTGACTCCGTGGGTTCCCCTGTCCCCTCCTTCCTCTGCTCTCCTGGCTGCAGGCTGCTGCCTTTCTGAGCTGGCAGAGACTCAGACCAGCTGAGGGAGGGAGCTTTAAGAAGAGCTGGCAGTGATTAAAAATGTGGTTAGTGGGCATGGTGGGGATGGGCCAGTGGTTGGACTTGGTGATCTTAATGCACTTTTCCAACCTTAATGATTCTGTGATTCATGTGGCAGTCCCAGTCCTGGTCCTGAGATCTTTCCTCACTCCCATGTGCTCCTGCCTCAGTCAGTCACTTTAAGGATGGCTACATACTGCATCTCAGCAGCTGCACCCTGGGTCATGGCCCTGCCAGACCCTGTTCCTCCTGCTTGCAGCCCAGCCTGACCTGTGGGAGGAGATGGGCACCACTGGAGGAGCTTGGAGCAGATCTGCCTGAGGCTGGGAACTTTGCCACTCGGGGCAGAGGGGTCATTGCTCTGCAGGAAGGGGTCTGCCTGAGGTTTACAGACTTCAGTGCCCCAGAAGGAACGTGTTTGCCAAGCACTGGGGCAGCCCTGTCCCCCTGGGTCAGCTTTTGGCAGAGTTCTTGCTTCAGAGGGCCTCCAGCCCATCCAAACCGAACACTGCTGGGTTTTTCCTTGTCTAATATCTATCAAAATACAGCAAACTGATAGGTCCCAGGAGAGATACTGAATCAACGGGGCATGCCTGCCCTCCAGCAGGGCGTTTTGTTAACGGAATAAAAGGGAGATGGCTGTTGCTGAACTCCATCTGCAGCAAGAGCTGTGCTTGCAGATGGGATGCAGGCAGCAGAGAACCTATAGGGACAGCCCTGCACCCCACGGCGCTGCCCCCGGGCAGGACACCCCCTGACACCCCTTGAGTGCTGTGAGGCTGCGGAGCTGTCTGGCTTTTGCTCTGCTCGGTGGATACTGAGGATGTGCTGCTTTTCCTACAAGGTGGACAGGGGTGGTTTATGGGTGAGCTGCAGAACTCCGCGCGTCCCTTCTCGAGGCTGGGGACTTCGTGCAGCCCGGGAAAACCGGACATCCCAGTACAGCCCCGCACAGCTCCGTACCGCCCTACACACCCCTAGAAAGCCCCGCTACAGCCCCGCACGACTCCGCCCAGCCCGGCGCACCCCGGAGCGGAGCCGCTGACCCGGCAGAGGGCAGCAGGGACCGACGGCTGTCCGTGCGCGCGTGCTCACGCGAGCGTCCGTCGGCGCGGAGCCGCGCACCCCGCAACACCTCCGCGCCCGGCGGCCTCGTGGCCGCGCTGCCGGTGGGCGGATCCCATCTGGCCCCGCCCCGCCCCTCCCGGCCCGGCCCCGCTCTCTGCGGCCGAGGCGCGGCGGAGCCCCCGCTGCGGGAGCGACCCCGGCGGCAGCGCCCGGCCCGCCCCGCGGCACCTGGGGCCGCCCCGCCGCCCCCTCCTCCTTCTCCTCCTCCTCCTCCTCCTCCTCCTCCTCCTGCACCTCCCCGCTCCCTCATCCCTCCCTCTTCCTCCTCTTCCCCCTCCCGCAGACGCGGATGCTCTCGGGCAGCGGTGGCCGCGGTGCGGGGCGGTGGGGGCATGGCGGCCCCGGACAGCTGCGTGAAGGTGGCGGTGAGGTGAGCGCGGAGCTGCGGGGTTCGCGGTCCCGGGGCGGGGGGGAGGAAGGAGCTCTGTGCAGCCCGGGAGCTCCGTGCCCGTCCCCTCTGCGCCGGCGCCCCCGAGCCGTGCCCGCTGTCCCTCGTCCCGCTCCGTGCTGCCCTGGGGCTGCTCTGACACCGCAAGACCTCTGAAGCTCGCAGTGCGGGGGGACCCCTGGGCCGTCTGACCGCACCGCACGAAGGGCTTAGACCCTCTCCCCTGGATGGTGTCAAAGGGGTATTGAGGAGGGGGTCCCTGCAATGTGTGCGTGTGGAGGGGGGGGGGGAATGTCTCTGCAGCATCTCCGTGTCCTTTGTACTGCCTCTGAGCTGGGAACAATGCGCCTTACGGCTCCTGCACCTAAATAAAGGAGCTGCCGGCAGCACCTAATTCGTGGGCTGCAGGGGGGGGTCGGGGCCGAGGCCCTGAGCGGCACTGCGGGCGGTGGGCACATCCCAAACCTCCTGCACGGCGATGGGTGGAAGAGGGATGAAAGTAGGGGGCTCTTTGTTAGCGCTGGACCGGGCTGGGTGTATTCTGAGTGCTGCCGCTGGGGTCCTGCAGTTCGGTGCTGTTCTCTTTGCTTCTCTCTATTGGGAAAGGAGGAAGGAATCCCCGCATCCCCCGCCAAAGGGCTCATCAGCCCCATCAAGTGAGGAAGGCAGGGACAGACCCGGAGCTGCCATCTGCGTGGTGGGAACTGGATGTGTGTGTTCCTCCCACTCACCCTATGGTTGCCCTGGCTCAGCCCGTGCCTTCCAGGCCAGCCCTGGGAGCACCGAGTCCTGTGCAGGATGAGGGGATGATTGGGCCCTTCCCCATCCAGCTGCTCCTGCGTTGCTTTCCATCATGGAGCTGTGGGATGGGGCAGAGGGTGCTGTGTTACTGCTATGGGTGTGGATCCTGTGTGTGGCACCATGGGTGCTGATGGGATGTGGTGGGACTGCATTAATCCTTGATGGAGGAAACACGGAGGTGCTGCCTTGGGCAGAGCAAGAGCACAAAAGATGCTTTGGGTGCAGTGTCAGTGATGAAGGGGAAATGGTGGGTGTGTGGCTGCGTGTACCACGTGTCTGTGCACCCAAACACCTCCCTGCACCGCTGCCCTGAAAGTAGCATTGGGGTTTTCTGCACCTCTCTGTCCAAGGGGCTGAGAATTGAGCCAGGCTGCAGTCTCACAGGCTGGGAAGCAGCGGGGAGGCGACAGCATCCTTGTCATGTGGGTGTTCCTACGGTGCCTGTGTGGAGGCAGGACGGGGTGTCCATGCAGGACACTGACCCGGGGTCTGAGTGATGCCGGCGGCTGCGGGTGGAGATTTCCTGCTGGTCAGACTCTTCCCATCCTCCATCCTGCGCTTTTCTTAGGATGGAGCCTTGTAACAAAGGCCCGGGCTGTGTTCCTTTCTGAAGCAGTGCTGTCAGGGGTGGTGGCTGTGGGGCTGCTTTGGTTGCTCTGTTTCCACCTCATCCCCTTGTGCCGTGAGGCCAGAGCTGTCCTGTGATGAAGGGATCACGAGCAGGAGGTGTTGGAAATGCAGTCTTCCCCATGCGGTATTTTGGTGGGGATGGGGTGTCCATGGTGAGAGCTGGGTGGGAAAGGAAGGCTCCATCCCTCTCCCACCCCCTCCTTGGTGAAGTGATCCCCGCTTGGTGCAGCGCTGGATGTCATAGCAGAGGTGAAGACAAAGGAGGGCTGAGAGTGACGATGCTGAGAGACAAAGCAGGCAGCAAGCAGGTCGGGGGCTGGTGAGAAACAGCCTCTCGCCCCACTGCTTTTGTGTCAAAGCTGCCCCGGGGGGCTGGCGCTGGGTCCTCTCCCAGCACAGCGCGGATTCTCTTTGTGTGGCACCTTGCCGGGGAGCAGCAGGGCTGCAAAGCCCTCAGACCCCCACCCACCGTGCGATCCGTGCAGTCCCAGCTCCTGCATGGGACAGCAAGGAGGAGGATTGCTACCTCAGGGTGTGGCAGAACAGGGGCAAAATCTCCCTTTTGTTCCTTTGTAATAACATGAAGGTGCACTGTGATGTTTATTCAGTCTCGGTGTCGCTGCTGTTGGTGAGAGCGAGGTGAGCTCACCAGTGTGGGGGAAAGGGATGCTGGATACTGGGATTTTGGGGAAGGTGCTGTGTGCTGCTGGGGTTAAATGGGTGATGTGTGTGGTCCCGCTGCTGTCAGGAGGTGCTGCAGCCACCAGGCAGGACCCAATTCTGGTGTCCCTGGGGCTGGGTGGTGGAGCTGCCCCATCCCTGTTGATCCCCGGTTCCCGCAGCTGTCCTGCCCTGGCACAATGAGGCAGGGGAGATGCTGTGGTGTTTCTTGCTGTCAACCTCAGTGCACAGCTTAAATCTTCTCCGTTCACCTCCAAGCTGGCGCTGGGGTCCCGCAGAGCTGGATGTGGGGGGGTTATTTAGGGCACAGGGGGGTGTGTTCGTGCTTCCTGTGTGCCAGCAGCGAAATGGCTGGTGGCTGCCGCAGCGCTGCCGTCAGCAGGGAGGACGCAGGCCCAGTGGCTGCTGCTGGCCTCGCGGCAAGCTTGTGGCTGCAGGCAGGGCTGCCTTCCCTTTGCCATCAGCGTGAAGCTGACGCGTTGCTTTTGGGCACCTCGGGGCTGCCTGGCTCGGGAGGGGCTGAGCCAGGAGCGCTGTGCCACATTCGGGCGCCGGGCAGGGAGCCCAGGGCTCCTCGTGCTCTGGGTGCTCACTTGGAGTCCTGGGGAGGCACAACGTCTGCTTCCTTTGGCAGGTGACCTTCACAGCGACTGCTGCAGCTCGATCTGCAGCTGCTGCTCCACCCTGGAGCACAGTGGTTACCTGGGGCTGGGGGTCCCCTCTGCTGGGCACGTGGGCTCGCAGGCAGCTCCGGCAGCTGCAGAGCCGTGTTCTGGGGCTGGTGGCCAGACAGGGCCCTGCTCTCCAGGGTGTGTGGCTTTGCTGTGTCAGGATGGTGTGTATAAACCTGGAGTGTTCAGCCTTGTGGTGGAGGGGGGGGGGCTGAGGAGTGGGGGTGGCTGCAGAAAAACTCCTCGAGACCCCAGATGCAGCATTGGCTGGGGGGAGTGCAGCACACGAGTGTGCCCAGCCAGCAGCGACTCAGGAAGCAGAGCTTGTGAAATTGGGGAAGGAAGTTGAGTCGGGTTTCAAGTTTATTTAAACCCTGCAACCTCCAGTGCTCTGCCGCTCTCATAAACACTCCTGCTGAGATGCTCCGTGCCCCTGCACAGCAGCATGGGTCCTGGCTGCCTCCTGCCCTGGGAACTGATCCGGTTTCCTTGGGAGCAATGATGGGATGTTCCTCTCAGGGACAGATTCCTGCAGCCATTGCAGCGTGCCCTGGAGGGCCTCAGCTCAGTGGGAACGGGGTTGTAAAGCATCCTGCTCGCATCCTGCTGCTGCCTGGCTGGGGCTCCTCTGCTTGCTGGGTTGGTTTCTGCAAACATGAAGCCTCTGGGACCAGCTGTGTTTCAGGATGATTTTGGATGCGGGTGGGGAGGTGTCATCAGCCCGAGCTGTGGGTGCTGCCTGAGGGTGATGGCACAGGGAGGGGGATGGAACCCAGCGCTCGCTGTCATCGTGGTGCTGCGTCATTCCTGGGAGACCATCTATGGAAAGTGTCCCTGGGGTTGGATGTTCTTTCAGTTTCCCTTCCAACCCAAGCTATACTGTGATGAAATGACTCCCTGGGGCGACCCATAGGACGCAGTCCTCTTGTGATTCCGTGACATCTCCAAGTCTGGGTGGTGTTGGATCAGTTTTGTTCAGCTCTCATGGGGCCATATAGGCTGAGCTTATGAGGTGGACGTTTGGGCAGAGAGGGAGGTGAGATAAAGCTGGGAATGTGCCCGGCTCCCAGGGTTACAGTGCCATGGGATTTCCTTTCTGGAGGCACCGGGGTGCTCCCTAGTGAACGGCACTGACTCACGGCTGCACCCCAAGGCCTGTAAGGGAAGCAGCGTCACAGGCACGGGGACCCCAAACCACCTTCCCCATCCTTCGCTCCCCCCGGGTCAGCCCAGGGCTCAGTCCTGGGGGAAATGCAGAGCCCAGGTGTGTGGGCGAGAGGCTTTTTTCTGCGCCTGGCTTCAATCAGGCGCACGCTTGCTGGCTTTTACAGCGGAAATGTTAGAAAGGAGATGGAAACATTGCTGGTGCAGGGGGGGAGCGCGGCTCTGCTCTGCGGTTCAGTGCAGAGACGGCGCTGCCTGCAGCATTGCCCCGGGCAGCGTGGCTGTAAGAAGCTTGTAGTGCCTGCACCCAGTGCCCGTCAGTGGGGACTTAAATCCTTAACGCCCCGAAGTACCAGGAACGCGGGGCTCCCTAAGCCAGAGGGCAGGACCGGCTGTGGCATTCCTGCACCAGGAGCGAAGCTGGGGGCGGGCAGGAGCAAATTGCAGGAGACAGAGCTCCAACCAAGAGCAAATCACAGGAGCCAAAGCTCGAAACCAAGCTGTCGGAAGCACAGCCCCTGGTCTCACAGGGGGAAGGCGATACTCCCACCAAGCCCATGCTAATTGAGGAGCCAGCCTTGTCTTTTGTGCCCTTCTCACTGCCCTGAGTCCCAGGGGTCTGTTTCCTTCCCATTGCTGTCAAAATAGTCCCTGCTGTGGGGTTAAACAGCCGGCAGGTTTGGGGTGTGCTGGATTGCACGGGAACTGCTGCCAGGCTCTGCTGGCTGCATCGCTTTGTGAGTGACTGTCCGGAGTCTGTTTGCAGACATCCTTGTGGCATCACCCACCCCAGGTCCATCATGACGTTGATGGCATTGCCAGCTGCTGCTCATCGGCTTATGGGAGCTGAGGAGGAGTGCAGGGACTTTGCAAACTCAGCCCGCTCCCGGTGCCCTCCAGGTGATGCTCTGGGTAAAGCTGAGTTCTGTGCTTCCCCCAGGCCCTTCCAGCCCTTTCCTGTGGCCTTGGGTTGGGGTTCCCCAGTGCGGGGTTCCTGTGTGTCCCCTGTTCCATTGCTGGTCCTGGTGCTGAGCAGATGGTGCAGCTTGGGGCCAGTGTGCTCCTGCCAGAGCTAATAAGCAGCACACGGTGGCTGCCAGGACCTGATTGAAAGGTTTCCCTAAGCCTGAGGATTAGGGGGCCCAGGGTCCTCTGGGGCTCACAGCAGTGGGGATTGCCCCATAAAGCTGGGCACAGCCAGCACCCCATGTTTGTGGCAAGCAGAGAGCCTATGTTGGGGTCACTTAGGGGATGGATATAGTGTGGTGGCAGGTCCCTCTGCTGAGTCGTGTCCAGTAGGTCTCCGTACACCCCTTGGCTCTGCAGAGGTTCTCTCATTTCCCCAGCAGGGGCGTGGGGACCTGGCAGCCAGCCCTGCTGTGTCCTTGGTGCCAGCCACACGTTGGTGTGGAGGGAGGCTGAGCCCTTCCCCGTGCTGTGCTCGCTCCTGCTAGGAAATGCCTTGCTATATCTCTTAATCTGAGTGTTTTCTGACCAGACCTGGCAATCCCAGGGGAGCCTTATTCAATTTTCTCTGATTGCTGAGCTGCTTCCCCGCTGTGGTAATTAAATGCTTAACTTTGTCTTGATTTGGGTCCAGAGCAACCTGTGTGCCAACAGCCGCCTCTGGGCAGCAAGGATTCTCCCAGGACTCAGTGGGGAGTGGGGCTGGGCTTTGTCCTCCTTAGGACTCTGTGGGACCAGGCCATACTGAGCTGATGCTTTGGGAGCTGCTGTCTGTTGGCAAGGATGGGCAGCAAGGTGCTTTGTGTGCTGGTGTGGAGATATGGGAAAGCCTGGAGTTCTCTGCTCTGATCCTGTTGCTGGTGGTGCGGAGTTCAGTGGAGAAGTGGGGTGTGGGAGTGTGCTGCCGTACCCTGCAGAAGGGAGCTCTGGAGCCTTCTGGGTTTGCCGTAGCCATGAAACAGGGAGAGGAGAAGCTCAGGCAGCAGGGGGCATGAGGACATGATTGCAGCCATCCCCTTCACTTGAATGGAACCTTCCTGTGCGCTGGAGGCTGTGTGGGGTTTCCCAGTGGGTGCAGCCCCTTTTCCTGGCCAAGCAGTGGGTGAAGCCCTGCCATGAGGATGTGGGCTGTACCCCTTCCAAAGCCCATTCTGCTGTCTGCAAGGCCAAGAGATACTGGGTTCTTCCTATGGGCTCTGCTTCATCCCCCAGGCAAGAGGGGCCCTGCGGGCTGCCTGTGGGATCTGCTTCCCGTGGTGCCCATTGGGCACTTGGCTCCCAGCCTGGCCCCAACAGCTCTGCCTTTGTGTGTGCCCCACACTCCCTGCCCCTGAGGGTGCAGCCCCACTCCGCCGCTTCCTCCCAGATGCTCGGTCGCCCTGGCAGCCGAACCATGGAGACGAGTGCTTTCACAGCCTGCCAGCATGGCAGGAAAGGGGGGGGAGAGAGAGAGAGAGAGATGCTGAGCCTCTGCCGGGCCTTTGTGTCCCCTGCTCGGCTCTGGGCCCTGCTTGGCACAAAGGCTGCCGCTGCTGCGGGGTTTGTGCGCCGATGCCAAGCAGGCAGGATCTGCTGGGCCGTCTGTCACCCCCTCGGTCCTTTGCCACCAGCCCAAGTGCAGAGAGGGCTGGCAAGACGTGTGAGGGGTGGTTGGAGTGCCTTGCTTTGGCCCAGAGAAGAGGAGGCTGATGTGATGTGACCCGCCTGGTCAGGTCCTGCATTGCCCAGTGTGTGGCATGGCGATGCTCCTGCTGGGGTAGGAGGGAATAGAACAGTAGAATCATTTGAATTGGAAGGGACCTTTGAAGGCTGTCAGCTCCCACTCCTTGCAATGAATAGGGGCGCTCACAGCTCCATCAGCTGCTCAGAGCCCCGTCCCCCTCACCTGGAGTGCCTGCAGGGGTGGGGCAGGGATGGGAATGGATGAGATCCCCCCCAGTGACAGAGAGCTGGGACTGTCTAATGACTGCGAGCAGGAAGAACAGCATCACTGACCCAGAGATTTCTTCTGTGCTGGCTCTTGGTGGTGGCCATGTAGATCTCCCTGTGCTGGATGGTAGGGCTGCTGGTGAGGGTCGCTGCTTCCCCAGAACATCCCATGCAGGGTTGTGTCTGCTGGAAGCTGCTGCTGCTTCCTGGGCTCATCTCTGCCCCCGGCTCCTTCTGCTGCTCTCATGGTGTGAGGAGGGGCTGATATTTGCACCGTCTGCAGCAGCTTCCAGCCTGTAGACAAGTGGCTCTAAGTTGCGCCGGTGGAGGTTCAGGTTGCATGTTAGAAACGATTTCTTCTTGGAAAGACTGGTCAGCACTGGCACAGCTGCCCAGGGAGGCGATGGAGTCCCTGTCCCTGGAGGCGTTCAGAGCTGTGGAGATGAGGCACTGAGGGATGTGGCTGCGGGCACGGTGGGGTGGGTTGGGGTTGGACTCAGTGTTCTCAGAGGTCTCCTCCAGCCTCAATAATTCTACGGTTCAATGAAATGACATTTGGGACAAGTGCTGGGGCTCAGACCAGCCTGTGGGGCACCCATGTCCCCAGCCACTCTTGGGGACACGGGGTGGTACAAGGGGATGCTGGCACCTGGGTCTCCATTCATACCCTTGCAGGTCCCACAGTTGTGGTCCCCAGAAGTCCTATGGAAAGTCCATATGCAGTCACACAGTGCTGCTGCACAGCCTCTCTCCCAAACCCACATGCACGTATTAAACCACTTTGTGGAGAGGGAAGGGAAAAAAGCCTTTTGCTGAAAACTCTGCTCTCGTTTTTCTTGAGAGGAAAAATTTTCCAGAAGTACAGTGGTTGCAGTTTGTTGTTCTGTCTGATCCCCAGAAATGCTGTGCGTGTCTGGGGAGGGGCAGCACTTCACTTTAGTCAGAAAGTAATTAAAACTGGGGTTCATTTTCCTGCGGGAGGGTGGGACCCTGGGAAGGCGACAGGAGCGAGTTGGGCTGAGCACATCTGAAGCTGCCTTCTGTTGTGGCTGCGGTGCTAAATACACCCTGAGACACGGATAGCTGTTCCCACACGTCTGCTGTGTGGCTTCCCGGGGGGGTCGTGGGCCGGTGGTCCCCCGGCTCTCGCTGCCCTCAGCCTGGTGAGACATGGGAGCCCCGACCTGCAGAGCCTCCGCTGCGGTCGCTGCCAGCCGTGCGGCTTTGGAGGAATTAATAGCTGTTTTTATGAAGCATCCAGGGAGGGGAGATGTGCAGTCATTAAGCTCTAATGAGAGCTGTTTGCCAGGCCGTTTGGCTTTGCGTTCCCTTTCTCCGCAGCTCCCTGGGGCGCCCAGCTGCTTCCCGCAGCCAACGCATCCCCAAAACCTGGAGCTGTGCGGCCCCGACGTGCGCCGCTGTCTGACGTGCAGCAGATCTGCGCCTGCGCGGCGCCGTCGGTGCTCCGAAGCCCTCGGGGTGGGGAGCGCGGTGTTGTCACGGCGCCGCTGGAGCCCAGCGCAGCTTCTGCTGTCCCGGCTCCGTCTGCAGGGCCCACAGCCTGGGACAGCCATCGGGCTGGGCGGTGCTTTGGTTCAGACGGTTGTTTTGGTGCTGGGGCCGTCTGGTTGTGTTTTGCGTTTCAGGCTTTTGAATGCAGTTTGATCTCGCTGTCTCCTGTGCGGGTGCAGCCATGCTGTGTCTGACTGCGTCTCTTCTGCCTACCGTGCCCTGGCAGTCCAGGTTGCTTCCATGCATCGTTCCTATGTGCAGCCCAGAGCTCGCTGCCTGGCTGGGGACGCTGCAGCAAATGAGCTGCTGTAGGTGTGGGTTGGTGCAAGGGAAGCTTTTAGTGCAGTCTGTGGGTTGTTACCCCATCCTGCTTTGTGTGCTGTTTGCTTCACACTGTGAGTGGTGGCACTGCTGGGCCTCAGCCTGGAGCAGCCGCAGTCCCAACGCAGAGCATGTCCCCAGAGCCAGGCAGTGGGGTGATCTCTGAGGCCACCCTCAGTGTGTTCCTCCCCCTGCAGGATCCGTCCCCAGCTGTCCAAAGAGAAAATCGAGGGATGTCACATCTGCACCTCCGTGACGCCCGGTGAGCCCCAAGTGCTGCTGGGGAAGGACAAAGCCTTCACCTATGACTTTGTCTTTGACCTGGACACGTGGCAGGAGCAGATCTACACAACGTGCGTGGGCAAGCTCATTGAAGGCTGCTTCGAGGGCTACAATGCCACCGTGCTGGCGTATGGCCAGGTACCCGCTTTGCTCTGCCCTGGGCTTTGGGCTCTCCCAGGGCGGCAGCGCAGAAGTTAGGAGCAGGCAGGGACTTAAAGCTGCAGGGTGTGGAGGGGATGGAGCCGTCTCAGGGTCGGGTGGGAGTTGCAGCAGGGAGAGAAGGGGTGGCGGGGCTGGGGTGCGTGATGGATGCGGGGGCTCAGCAGAGGAGCTCGGGGTGGTACGGGCAGCTGTGGCTGCAGCGCAGGACCCAGCTCCATCTTTGCAGACTGGTGCGGGAAAGACATACACCATGGGCACTGGCTTCGACATGAGCATCTCTGAGGATGAGCAGGGCATCATCCCGCGGGCCATCGGCCACCTCTTCAGCGGCATTGAGGAGCGCAAGCGGGCGGCACAGAGTCAGGGGGTGGCAGCGCCTGAGTTCAAAGTCAGCGCCCAATTCCTGGAGGTGAGTGACGAGGAGTCAGGGGTGATGGAATGGCCTGCGTCCTCTGCACAGCCCTCCTCCCAGCAAGGGTGGCAGGAAGGCGTCCTCTGGCACCTTTTGAAGTGCCAGGCTCTAGCAGACTCCTCTTCTCTGTTACTCACATGCATTTTTGCCCCATTCAGCTCTACAATGAAGAGATCCTGGACCTGTTTGACAGCACCCGTGACCCAGATGCACGTCACCGCAAATCCAACATCAAAATCCACGAGGATGCCAGCGGGAGCATCTACACCACGGGGGTCACATCGCGGCTCATCAGCTCCCAGGACGAGGTGGGTGCGGCATCAGTGAGTGCAGAAGAGGGATGGAAGGCAGGGATGTGCTTTGTGCTTGAAGGTTTTCTTCCTCTGCTGTGTGTTGTTGCAGCTCATCCAGTGCCTGAAGCAGGGAGCTCTTTCCCGCACCACTGCCAGCACCCAGATGAATGTGCAGAGCTCCCGGTCCCATGCCATCTTCACCATTCATCTGTGCCAGATGAGAGTGTGTGCCCGCCCGGAGCTGGTGAGACTGAGAGGCCCTGCCCCTCTGCTCTTGCTTCCGAGATGGGCGCTTCCTGGCTCTGTGTGGGTTCCCTGGGAAGGGGAGAGGGTCTGAAGTCTCCCAGACAGGCAGGGTTTTGTCTTGTTTCTCTGTGGTTGTAGGGAATATTAGCATTTATTGGGAGCTAAGATATTCGCCAAAGCAGCCCTGTCCCAGGGATGGGGTGACCTGCAGCAAGTTGCTGTTGGGCTCCTCTCACCTGATCGTCAGGGGGCTGCAAGCCGAGGGTAAATGCTCGTAGGGCTGAGGGGGCTCCTGCAGGGTCTCTGGTAGCGAGCCCTCTGTGTGCCTGGCTGCAGGTGAACGGGGAGGTGACCGGCCTGCCGGATGGAGCCCAGCCCACCACTGAGTACGAGACCCTCACAGCCAAGTTTCACTTTGTGGACCTGGCTGGCTCGGAGAGGCTGAAGAGAACGGGCGCTACTGGCGAGAGAGCCAAGGAAGGCATCTCCATCAACTGTGGGCTGGTACGACCCTGGGCATGCGAGGGGCAGCAGGGGGAGGGCAGGGGCTGCCTGAAGACCCAGGGGACCTTTGGGTCCTGCTTGCAGTTGCTCCGCGCTGCTGGAGTTGCTGTGGGTTTTGCTGCCTGGAACTGTAGGGAAGATTCTGTGATCCAAAATTCTAGAGGGCATGGCTTTACTGCTGAGGGCAGGACTATGGTGTACAGCACAAGTGTGCTACTCCCCAGAAAATTGAGGGCTGCTAATTTGAGCTTAAAAACTACCCTGAAGTTCAGTGTTTTTCTTCACTGCTCTGGTGCTTGTGAGAGTGAGAGGCGCAACACAGGGAAGGAGGGCAAATGCCAAAACTGGTTGGGAAAGCCCCATGCCTTCCCATCTTGCACCGCGTGTGTCACAGTGTGCAGTCCCAGCCTGAAATTCTGGCTGTGTGGCAGCTGTGTACTCAGCAGGGGCTGAAGTTGGATGGTGGTTTTCCTTTGTGTTGGCAGCTGGCGCTGGGGAATGTCATCAGTGCCCTTGGAGACCAGAGCAAGAAAGCTGTGCATGTGCCCTACCGCGACTCCAAGCTCACCCGCCTGCTGCAGGATTCCCTCGGTGGCAACAGGTGTGGGGACCCCACATAGGGCTGCGATGGGCTGAGGGGCCGTGGAGTGTGTGGGAGCTATTTCAGATGACTGGTGCGTTGCCTGCTGTGGGTTGGGTGCCTCCTGACAGGCAACATGGCACTGCAGATGTGAATGCCTTGCCTGCTTATGAGTCCCAGCTGCAATTAGGCAGTTTTGGTAGAGTTAGCTGGTGTTAAATGCTCCGGAGCCCTTGCAGATCTGCGACGCAATGGGTGCTGTGGCGTTGCATGACAGCCAGGATTCTCTGCCTGCTGTGAGGGCACTTTTTTGTAGAGCCCATTCCTGATGGTGCTCTGTCGCTAGGAGGGATTGAACCCAGTTATAAACCATAGGAGGGCTGGGATGGCTGCCGAGGCACAGGGCTTGAGCTGAGTGTACTGAGTGGGGAAACCACCCCTTCACCCTGCCCTTCACCTTCCCAAGCCAAACCATCATGATCGCTTGTGTGAGCCCATCTGACCGCGACTTCATGGAGACCCTGAACACTCTCAAGTATGCCAACCGGGCTCGCAACATCAAGAACAAGGTGGTGGTGAACCAGGACAAGACAAGTCAGCAGATCAGTGCCCTGCGGGCTGAGATCGCCCGTCTGCAGATGGAGCTGATGGAGTACAAGGCAGTGAGTGCCCAAGCGAGTCCATGCAGGTGGAATGGAGCCGGGAGGGGGAGGAACCCTTCTTGTGTTTGGTTTGGGGCAGTTTTAGCCAGCAGGACCCTCCTGCCCATGATTCTTCCTCCCACAGATAAGTGGCTATCTCTGGCCCTGTTGTGAGGCCCTTTCCCCTAAAGAGTGTCTCCCGTGGCCTGTCCAGTTGAGCTTCATTCTGGATGAGTGTTTGGATGACAGTGGATGGTGTGAGTGAAGCTAAGACACTGTGAGGATGGCACTTTGCCATTGCTGATGATAGCTGCTGAGCTGCTACCTGCCCAGTACTCCTGTGGGGTGGAAGATTGGATTGGTGGATCAAGCTTTAGAAGGCTCAGACTAGGGCTCGGGGATTCTAGGCAGAGAGAAGCCTTGAAGCATCTCTGACCTGTTGAGTTCAGGCTTTCCTGGTCCTTAGGTTTTTCATTCCCCTGCTCTGGAGACTGGGGTTGCCCTCAGGAAGGCAGTGGTGGGGCTCCGTGTCCTGGCACACCCCGCGCTCAGGAACTGCCCGTGTGTCCCCACAGGGCAAGAGGGTCATTGGGGAGGACGGTTCAGAGGGCTACAGCGATTTGTTCCGTGAGAACGCCATGCTGCAGAAGGAGAACAGCGCCCTGCGCATGCGGGTGAAGGCCATGCAGGAGGCCATCGACTCCATCAACAACAGGGTCACCCAACTGATGAGCCAGGAGGCCAACCTGATGCTGGCCAAGGCAGGTGAGGCTGGGCACACGCACGTTGGCCTTGTCCACCCAGTGCGGGAGAGATGGGTGCTGCAGCACTGTCTGTGTCTTGCCTTGAGCCCCTTAAGCCTCTGCTTCTCCAGGTGATAGCAATGAGGCCATCGGTGCTCTCATCCAGAACTACATCCGAGAGATTGAGGAGCTGAGGTGAGCTGGGCCCAGTGTCTGTTGGGTCGTTTGGGCTGGTGGGTGCCAATGCGGGGTGCGAGTCAAGAGGCTGCTCCTGGCTCTGTGTCTCCACCATTTTATTTATAAACCTCAAAGCAGCCAAGACCACTGGGCCTGTGGTAGTCCCAGTCTCGGTGCTGGGCAGTGATTTGGCCAGTACTGCTCTTTGCATGGCTACTGATGGATGGGGAGACCCTGCTGGCAGTCTCTGTTGTCCCCCAGGGGCTGCTGACCCACAAATCTGCATCCATCTCTGCCTCATGTGACCCCTGGGTACTGCCTCTCTGCAGCATCCTGGCCTTCCAGTCCGAGGTGTCTGGGCATGGTTTGTGTTTGACATGTCAGTGGCACATCTCCTCATTGACCACATCTTGTCTCTGCTCCCCAGGACGAAGCTTCTGGAGAGTGAATCCATGAATGAGTCTTTGCGTCGCAGCCTCTCGCGCCTCTCTGCCCGTCCCCCCTACTCTGTGGGCTCATCCCCAGCTCCTGGCCTGGCTGGGCTGGGCAGCCCTGCTGCCCCTGTGGAAACCGAGGCCTCTGACGTCCTGCGACGGGCCAAGCAGGACCTGGAGCGGCTGAAAAAGAAAGAGAGGAGGCAGCGGAGGAAAAGGTGAAGGCTGTGTGATGCTGGGAAGGGGGGTGCCCCACATCAGCCCTCTCTGTCCTCATGGGGATGGATATCTCACTTTTTCCCCTATCCTTGCTAAAACCAGAGCACCCAGACAAAGCCTGGGCATGTGTGTTCCTTTCCTGGCACTGCCTTGGTTGGCTTTTCACCCACCAAGTATCTGGAGGCTGCTTTCCCCATAGAATACAAGAGCAGGACGTTGGTAGCCCTGCGAGGCTCGTTCTGACTTTAAGACTCACCTGTACCCCGTTGCTTCCCCCAGCCCAGAGAAGGAAGCATTTAAGAAGCGGCCAAAACTGCAGCAGGACAACGGGGAGGAGACGGATGAGAATGAAGCAGAAGAGGTGAGAGGGGCTTCGTGTTCCTATGGAAGGGATGCTCACTTACGGAGGACTGTTGTCACCCTGAGAGGGAGGGTGATCAAGTTCTGCCCTGGCCCTGAAAGGAGGGGCTGTGGACATGCAGACACAGCCAGGAGTCAGCCCTGCTGTGCAGTGAGGAGCCCATGTCTCTTTGGGGCCTGGTTTCAGAGGTAGCTGAAGGAAGGCTGAGGGGACGCAGTGCTGTTCGGCTGGTAGGGAATGGATGTAGCACAGAGCTGTCCTTAGCTGTGGTGTGCACTGTGGGCCCAGAAATGATGCTTCAGCCCATGGGCATCCCATGTGGGAGACTGAGTCACACTGCAGGGGCTGCAGTTGGTTGCTGTGGGGTGAGCTCAGGTTTGGGGCAGGGGAGAAGGGCAAAGCCATGCTGCAAGTTAAATATGGCATTTTCTCTTAGGAGGAGGAGGAGGAGGAACAGGATGAGAGTGGCTGTGAGGAAGAGGATGGACGTGAGGATGAAGATGAGGACTCAGGCAGTGAAGAAAGCCTGGTGGACTCGGACTCGGATGCAGAGGAGAAGGGTAAAGTACAGAGCCCAGAGCACGGGGGTGCATTTGCTGGACTCCAGTCCTGGGAAGGGAGAATTCCCCAAGATGCTGGGTTGTCTCCTCTCTGGGGGACTGGCAGAGCACCAGAGTCAGTGCAGGGAGCCTCCAAGTTCCCATCAGCCCCCCCTGCTCCCTCCTTGCGCTGTGGCTCTGTGGGACCATGGGAGCAATGCTGTCCCCATCCCTGCTGGCCTGACTATGCTCTCTGGCTTCCAGCGGTGAATTTCCAGGCTGACCTTGCAGATTTGACTTGTGAGATAGAGATCAAGCAGAAGCTGATCGATGAGCTGGAGAACAGCCAACGGCGCTTGCAGACGCTCAAGCACCAGTATGAGGAGAAGCTGATCCTGCTGCAGAACAAGATCCGGGACACGCAGCTGGAGCGGGACCGGGTCCTGCAGAACCTCAGTGAGAGCCGCCTCACCCACAGCATCCCAGCAGCATTGGGTCCCTTTTCTCCTCCTGCCCACCTGGCTAAGGGCTGACACATCCATCCCCTGCATGCAGCCGCAGGCTTTGCCACCAACCCTGCTCTGCTTGAGCAGCTGGGATCCCAAGGCTGTGCTCTTATCACTGTGGGAGTGGGAGCTGGAGACTGCTGGGGAGGATGGTGAGGCAAAGCCTTTATTGAACACAGCTTTGTGGGGTGTAGGGATTCCTGGGTGAATTGTGCTGTGGGCATATGAAGGACCCCAAAGACCCACAGCGTAGCTGATTTCCGGGCTCAGCATCAGCCAAGGAGGCTGCACTTGGCTGTAGGTCCAGGTCCACATCTCCTTTCAGCCCAGCAATTGGTGTAACCCACTGCCCCTGTTTTGTGTCATCCCATTGGGTGCCCCAGACAGACCCCTGCCAGTGCAGCATGACAGAGGGCTCTAGTGAAACAAGGGGCACAGAGACCCTTACAAACTCTCTCCCTACTCCTGCAGGCACCATGGAGTGCTACACAGAGGAGAAGGCCAACAAGATCAAAGCAGACTATGAGAAACGGCTGAAGGAGATGAACAGGGACCTGCAGAAGCTGCAGGCTGCCCAGAAGGAACATGCTCGCCTGCTCAAGAACCAGTCCCGCTACGAGCGGGAGCTGAGGAAGCTGCAGGCAGAGGTGGCTGAGATGAAGAAAGCAAAGGTACTCAGGGTGGGAAGGGCGTTGCTTGGGAGCAGCGAGGCTGAGACTGGTTTGGCCAAGCCTGGCTTCCTCTCAGCTCAAGGAAAAAGCTGTTTTCTGCTCCTGCTGGTGATGCAGGATGCCTGCCTGGTGGATGGCTGTCCTGGCTGCTGGGAACACCAGGTGCCCGTGCAGACATCGCACCTTCCCTCTGCAGGTTGCGCTGATGAAGCAGATGCGGGAGGAGCAGCAGCGGAGACGGCTGGCAGAGACGAAGAGGAACAGGGAAATAGCACAGCTCAAGAAGGAGCAGCGCCGGCAGGAGGTGAGAAGGCAGCCTGCCTGTGTGCTGCTGGGTCACCTGGTGCCGGGACGATCCTGAATCTCGTAGTGTGGTTGTTGGAGATCTGTGAGCTCCCCAGCGCGTTCAGGGGAACAGTGCCACCAAAACTAGCCTTGAGGCTGGAATGGAGGCTTCTGCACTGTTAAAATCACAAGTGATGCTCATGACAAAGCAACTGCTGTAGTATTTGGTGGTGGAAGTGCTGGTTCTGCAGCCATTGCTAAGGTGTCTGGGTGGCTTGTCTTTTCCCAGCAGGACCTCATAGTCTGTCTCTCCTATGCAGTTTCAGATCCGGGCTCTGGAGTCTCAGAAGCGGCAGCAGGAAATTGTGCTGCGAAGGAAAACTCAGGAGGTGAGGGGGGACCACCTTCGTGCAGCCCTCAGCTCCAAGGGGGATCCCAAACAGTGGCTCCGTGGCACCAAATCTGGGAGCTGAGGTCGGTGATGGGTTTGTCTGGGGATGGCTGATGGCAGCATGCTCACACTTTCTTCTGGGCAGGTCTCAGCGCTGCGCCGTCTCGCCAAGCCCATGTCGGACCGAGTTGCAGGCAGGACGAGCCAGAAGCCAGCCATGCTGGATTCTGGTGCAGAGGTCTCAGCCAGCACCACCTCGTCTGAGCCAGAGTCCGGCGCTCGCTCCGTCTCCAGCATCGTGCGCCAATGGAACAGGAAAATCAATAACTTCCTGGGAGACCCCTCACCTTCTGTCAATGGGGCTCGGCCAGTCAGGTCAGGGCAGTGGTGGCACTGCGGGGCTGGGTTAACGAGCGATGGGAATCCCAGGGTTCAGGGGTCTGCCTTTTGGCTGATGGCAGAGGCTGGAGGCCAACTCTTCATTGTGTGTTTGGCTGGAGGTAAAGTGCCTGGAGGTAAAGGGATGGGCTGTGCTTGGAGTGTGCTCTCTATGGAGCTGTTAGAGCAGGGAGGGGTGACGGCAGAGGTGGATAATCCAAAAGCGAGACAGCCTCCTGTGATGCAACCAGCACTTGGGCATCCTTCTGGGGACAGCACAGCTTCCCAGACATGGTGCAACTGGGTGCCCATGTGCCTTTGCTCCCCTCGTGCTGTAGGAAGAAGTTCCCCAAGAAGGGATCGAGTCAGACCTTCAGTAAAGCTGCCCGCCTCAAGTGGCAGTCGCTGGAGCGGCGCATCTTCGACATTGTGATGCAGAGGATGACCATCGTCAACCTGGAGGCTGACATGGAGAGGCTCATCAAGGTGAGGGGGGTGGCCGTGGGGCTGCGGGTGGCCGTGTCAGCACAGTGCCAATCCTTCTCCCTTTTTCCTTCAGAAACGAGAGGAGCTGGCACTGCTGCAGGAGGCCCTGCTGGGCAAGAGGGCGAAACTGCAGGCAGAGAGCCCGAAGGAGCAGAAGGGGCTGCAGGAGCTGAATGAGGAGATTGAGGTGCTGGGGGCCAACATTGACTACATCAATGACAGCATCTCTGACTGCCAAGCTACCATCATGCAGATTGAGGAGACCAAGGTGGGCAGGGGGAGAGGCTGGGGGGGAGATGGGAACGTCCCTGGGAAGGAACTCAGGCATCACAGTGCTTCCTGGGCGTGGGAAAGTTGCATGCTCCCACTTCACTGGTCTGCATGCAAGCTTTCGTGGGCCTGTACTGGAAACTTGCTGGGAAAAAAGCTGGGCTTCAGCACAAACCCCACAGGTTTTAGTGCCCAATTCTGACACCAGACACAATGTGCACGGCTCCTTACCCCTCTGTCATCAAGAGGCTTTGTGTCTGTGCAGCCTCTGGGACAGTGGCTGTGCCACCGGCCAGGACCCCATGGGGCAGCAGTGGAGCAGCTTCAGCCCCGAGTGCCTGTGCAGGCTGTGGTGCCCGCTCTGTCAGGCCCTGCCTCCTTTCCATTCCCCCGGCCTCATCCACTTCCTTCCCCTCCCAGGAGGAGCTGGACTCCACGGACACCTCGGTGGTGATCAGCTCCTGCTCCCTTGCTGAAGCCCGGCTGCTGCTGGACAACTTCCTGAAGGCATCCATCGACAAGGTGCTGCTGCTGCTTGGAGCACTGTCTGCACGTGGGGCTTTCTCCCACCTGTGAGTCGTGCGGTGGGGATCCCATAGCGCCTGTCTGAGGACGGTGTGATCGTCCATCCGGCAGGGCCTGCAGGTGGCACAGAAGGAGGCCCAGATCCGCCTCCTGGAGGGACGGCTGAAGCAGACGGATGTGACCGGCTCCTCGCAGAACCACCTCATCCTGGATGCCCTGCGGGAGAAGGCTGAGTCGCACCCTGAGCTCCAGGCGCTGATTCACAACGTCCAGCAAGGTGGGCCAGAGCCCAGACCGCCCTCCCTTACACTGGGTATGGCCTCCGCCTCTTCCCCGTGGGATAGAGCTGGACTTTCTGTGTTGGGCGCTCGGGAAGCAGCAGGAGGTGCCGCCATTGGCATCAGCATGCCCTTGGGCTGCACGGAGGGTGCAGAAGAAGGCCTGCTGCCTCATGGCTGCCCAGACTGTGCCCCCAGCTCCAGCGCAGTGTGCTTTGATTGGGACTTGGTTCCCTTCGTGCTGCTGATGTGCCTTCTCCCTTGTGTGCAGAGAACGGCTACACCAGCACAGATGAGGAGGTCTCTGAATTCAGCTTGGCTTCGGATGGGAGGTGAGCAGCCAGCCCTTCACAGCCTGCAGGCTGTGCGTTCGTGTGTGGTGGCTGGAGGTGGGGAGGGTTACCACCTACGGGAACTGACAGGTAGATATTGAAGAAAAAAACACCGTCTACACTTTCTTGTGGTGCGTAGCCCTTTGGGGAGGGGAGCACAGACATCTCTTAGACACTAAAAGACTTGATCATCCTTTGGAGAAGGGGTGCTGAGGAGCAGGGAGTGACCTAGGGAGGCTGAGGGACTGGTAGCAGTCTGTGAAAGGAGTTCAGTGCTGAAGATCCATCTCTGCCACCTTCTCCTTGCAGCATCTCCCAGTCTTTCAGCATGAAGGGCTCAGCGAGTCAGGATGATTTCAAGTTCAAGGTGAGTTGGCCATCGCGTGGCCCTGTTACAGGGTGTTGGAGAAAGGGTTGAGGGACGTGTTGGGTCCATGCCTGAGCCCCGTGTCCTGCTCTAGGGAGAGCCCAAGCTCTCGGGGCAGATGAAGGCAGTGTCAGCTGAATGTCTAGGACCCACGCTGGACATCTCCACCAAGAACATCACCAAGTCCTTGGCATCGCTCATGGAGATCAAAGAGGATGGGATCAGCTTCTCAATCCGAGACCCCTATTACAAGGAGAAGGTGTCGCGAACCGTCAGCCTGCCCACGCGGGGGAGCACTTTGTGAGCACAGGGCGATGGTCCATTGGGCTCCGGGAGGTTGGCTGGGAGGCGTGGGCCACGGGGTGGGAAACTCTGCCTTGGATGTCGAGGGGCAAAGCAATGAGGGTGAGCCAAATCCTGCCATGCAGCTCAGCCTGCAGCACGTAGCGGTGGGTTTCTCCAGCAGGCTTTTCAGAACGTTGAGGCTTATGTTGGCACTCAGTGTGGGTGGAGAGTGGTCCAAGAGGAAGGAAAGAAGGGGCGGTGTGAGGGCCCTGTCTCACTGCCCTGGCTGATCAGCCTTCATGGAGGCTTCTTGCGTTGCCAAAGGTTTCTGCGCTCAGAGGCATCTTCTGATCTCATGACTGTGTCACCAGGCAGCCCACCTTCTCCATTTGGGAGGGGGGGATGTGGAGGTTCAGCACGGAGGTCTCTGGATGGAGGAGGGCAGGCACCTGCTATGTTCTTTCTTTTATTTAAGTCCCAGACAATCTCGTGTCTCAGACACGTCGCCTCTCACAAGGAGGAAATCCTATGACCGTGGGCAACCTGCTAGGTGAGCCTGGGAGGCCTTGGGCAGGGGGAGGCTGGGAGGTCTGGGCAGGCTGGCAGAGATGCCTGCTGATCAGCTCCTGCTGCTTCAGCTGCGCCCTGGGCAGTTTGGCAGCTGCCAGGTGAGCGGTTCCCAAGTCGTGTGTTCCTCTGATCCTTCCTGGCCCAGGCCTCCAGATGTCGGCTTCACTCCTCCCTCATCCCCACCCACACGCCCTCGCAATGACCGCAATGTCTTCTCTCGTCTCACGAGCAACCAGAGCCAGGGGTCTGCCTTGGACAAGTAAGTCGAGGTGGGGTGGGAGAGTCTGAGCGAGGGGCACCTGTGCAGTAACAGCAAAACCTTATCAGGTCCCACTGTGGGTGTTGGAGCGCCCAGGTTGTCTCGAGCCACCCTCCTGGCACTGCTTTTCCTTAGTGCCCCTCTGCAAGAGCAGCTGGATGCTGTGCTGGGCCCTGCTGGACTCCTGCCTTGCCTGTATCCCTCTGAGCTGCTTGCAGGAACTCCCAGTCCTGGGCTTTGGTTGAGCCGTGCAGTGCCAGGCTGGGATGGCTGGAAGATGTGAAGCAGGATGCAGTGAGGCAGGGTGGGGGTTGGCAGGAAGCTGAGTGGCACTGACCCACAGGCGCAGCGCCGGCCGCCCGCAGGGCAGGTTGGGCAGCTGCCCTCACCTTGGAGCACTGCTTGCAGCGCGGACGTTCCTGACGGAGATCTGCTGTCTGACCCTCACGGTCCCTGCTGCTCCTCTGCCCTTTCCTCTGTTCTCTGTGTGTGCTTCTCTTTTCCCTCTCTCCTCTTTCTCCGTGTCCTCCCCTGGCTTGGATGCAATAACAATCCTCCACTCTGACTCCTCTGCTGCCTCTTCTAGTCTGGGTTTTCTCTCCCATAATCCTGCTAATTTTCTGCCCCTAGGTCTGATGACAGCGATTCCTCTGTCTCGGAGGTGCTGAGGTATAGACAACTTTCTATTTATTACCCCTTCCTCTTCTTTTCTCTCTCTCACGAGTTTGCTCTCCCTTGTCCCTGCATGCTTCACCTGTGCCTTGCTGCTTTGCCCATCTCCCAGCTTGTGTGTGCTGTCCCCTCTTGGCACGCCACCGACAGTCCCTGACAGTGTCCCCCCGGTTGTGAGTTTGAACCGTTCCTGCTCTGCTCAGCCTTTGGAAGCCAGGCACTGGGCTTGCCTGCAGACACGGGCTGCTTTGCAGAGGCAGCATGCTCTGTGCCATCTCTGATGGGCTCTTGTCAGCATGTCCTGTCCCATCCCTGGCTCTCCAGCAGGACTGTGATGCTGGGATGAGCAACACTGGACACTGTGTCAGTGTGTTCTTCTTGCAAGCGTCTTCCAGGGAAATATGTGCAGGTGTTCCCCATGCTTGGCTGCATCTCTGCAGCACTGGGTTCTGGGTGGGCAGAGCTCTTTGCCCCAGAAGCCAAGTCACTGCTGTGCAAAGCTCAGCATAGGGGTGAAGGTTTGTCCCAGTGCAGTAGAGAGGATCCCTGGTGCGAGGACAACCTTCTCCCTGCCTTTAGGAGCACCTCTGGTGCAGAGGATACTGGAGATGTGGCACCAGATGTGCGTGTGCTTTGTCACCTTGAGCTGTTTGCTCTGATCACGTCTCACCCTGGGGAGCCAGAATTTCCATTTGGTCTCAGTATCACCTCAAGACCAGTAGAAACACTAGGGGTCAGAGGAGAGCTGCTTAATTTGTGAGCACAGCTGCTAATTGAGAAAGAGATCGCACGCATGCGACTTCCAAACCCGAATTAATGAGCTTACATTCATCCTTCTGACTAATGCAAACCTTATGTGGCCCTGGGCCTGTCCTTCTCCAGCCTCCTGCCTTGTTTTCCCTACTCATAAGATTTAGCATAGCTCAGAGCCCCTGGCAGTGCTGGGGGTGCCAGCAGGGAAGAGCTGCTGATGGCCATAAACATCAGGGCTGCAGCTGTGGGGCTGTTGGACCTCAGTGCTTTGAACACTCTGAAGTGGAGGTGATTGGCAGATGCTGTGCCCAAAGGGCTGAGCTGCGTGTGCCTGCCGGCGTCCCTTGGAGGAAAGTTTGGCAAGGATAGATTCTCTCCTGCCCTGGGCCAGCACTGGGCACAGGGATGCTGGGTACAGATGCCAGTGCTGCCTCTGTCATCCTTATGGTCTTAAAAGGAGTACAGTTCTGTTTCCAAACGTTACCAGCCACAGGCTGGCTGGCGGGCTCGAAGGAGCTGCCATCATAATGAAGCATTCCTAGCTTCAGAATGGAGAAAGTGCAATTTGTCCTAAACTGAACTGAGGCCAATGAGCTGAGCCTCCTGGTTCATCTCCGTTCTGCCCAGGTTTGTGTGGCTCAGCAGCAGAGCAGAGGCCACGAGCACCGTGTCTCACAGTCTGTGTCCCCTGGGCAGAGCTGTTAGGCTGGGGCTGCTCGTGGGGAGACTCCCAGGTTTTCCATGAAGGTGTTTGCTCACGTGCCTGAGTTCAGACAGAGGGGCCCATTGCTCTGCCAGGCAGAGGAAGATGCTTGGGGTGAGGCGCCTCGTGCTTTCTCATGCCCGTAGGACCTTGTGGTGCTGTGCCTTTCCACACACCTACCCCACCACACTCGTTCTTTCTTTCCCATGCAAGGGGCATCATTAATCCAGTGGGTGGCACCAAGAACGCGCGGACAGCCCCGCTGCAGTGCGTCTCTGTGGCAGAAGGACACACCAAGCCTGTGCTCTGCCTGGATGCCACCGATGAACTGCTTTTCACTGGCTCCAAAGGTAAGTGGTGGACAGAGAAGGCGTTGGGGGTTGCTGGCTTTTTATGCGCTGTGGGAGCAGGTTGGCATGGGGAATTCGTGGGCACTGCAGGCATGGTTCCTCCTGGGCTGCTCTCCTGTCCCTGCCCTCTGATGTCCACGTGCTGGAGCAGGCTGGCTCCGTTCCCCTGGAAAGGAGCTGAGGGTGGCGGGAGGCGTTGTTTGGGAAGGGATCGGTGCCTCCGTGCCATGGAGGATCTCCCCAGCCTGATGCTCTCAGACGTGCTCTTCTTCCTGCAGACCGGAGCTGTAAGATGTGGAACTTGGTGACTGGTCAGGAAATCGCTTCCCTCAAGGGTCACCCAAATAACGTCGTTTCCATCAAGTACTGCAGCCATACGGGGTTGGTGTTCACCGTGTCCACGTCATACATCAAAGTGTGGGACATCCGGGACTCAGCCCGCTGCATCCGCACCCTCACGTACGTGGGGGGAAGGGAGGCTGTGGGCACCTCTGGCTTTGCAGGTCTCCAAAACTCCTGGGATCCCACAGGGTGGAGACAGCCCAGCTGCTTTAGTACCAGCACTACCGGTACTACCTACCAGTAGCTGTAGGAAACAGGGAGGCTTAAGGAGATCTTAGAGGGAATCTGTGAGGACCCTCTGCAGAAAAGGCTCAAAGGAAGGGGCCTTGAAGAGGATTTCAGCCCTTCTTGGGGGCGGCCAAGAGCGCCAGCAGCTCTGCAGAGGAGGCCCAGACCCGAACAGCATTGCAGCTGAGTCCATCCCAGGCTTTGCAGTGGAAAACATGGGTCTCTAAGGAGGAGTCTAAGATTGGAACGAATCATGGACTCAAAGAGCGTGGCAGACCAGCGTTACCAGCTCACTTCTGTGCCTCAAGGTCTTTCTCCCTCCCCCCTCTCCTGTGATGGGGAGGCCAAATATCTCTGCCTCCCAGTGTGGCCAGCAATAATCCAGCTCTTCCTGCAGGAGGACTGAGAAAGCAGCAGCACCCAAGTGGGAACTAGGGCAGGGTATTCTGTGTTCTGAGCACACCTGCCATCCGTGGCCCCACCCCAGGCAGAGCACTGGTCTGGAAGGTGGAGGTGATCCTGGTCCCATGGCCAGATGGGGATCCACCACTGATGATACCTGCAGGACCGTTCCCAGTGTGGGACCAGCTGGGAGCCAGCAACCCCTTTGGGCTCCTCAGCAGGGCCTCAGAGGCTCTGACCTGGTCTCTGATCATCCTTTCTCCTCCCTTCCTCTCTAGGTCTTCTGGCCAGGTGATCTCTGGGGATGCGTGTGCTGGGACAACCACACGCACTGTGACCAGTGTGCAGGGGGAGCACCAGATCAACCAGATCGCTCTCAACCCCACTGGCACCACCCTCTATGCTGCCACTGGAAACTCCGTCCGCATCTGGGAGCTGAGCAGGTGAGGGGCAGCACAGAGGCAGGCAGGACAACTTACTGATTCTGTGTGGACAGTGTCCATCTGAAAAGACTGCCCTAAGGAAAGGGAAAATCCTTTTAGCTGTGGAAGCTGCCTGAAATGAGGGCTTTCAGAACCCTTCTGTACACCTTTTCTAGTCCCTGTTTTGGGACCAAGGGGTGATGAGCAGCGATGGGGCTACTTGAGATGTGGGTTCCATCTGTGGGAAGAGGGAAGAGATGGGGGATGAACAGCAGTCTCCCCAGGCTGTGCCACTGACACTGAGCCCTCAGTGCAGCGTGGGCTCTGCAGGTGGCTGTTGTTGTCCCCCAAAGCTGCCTTCATCCCTCAGCATCACTGTGAAGCAGGGTACCTCCGATGGCGATGTCCCCAAAAGGATCTTCCTCTGTCGGGGGCTGATGTGAGGGCAGTGGGGTTTGTGCTGGGGGAGGGCCCTGAAGGAGCTGTGCTGTTGGGAAGGGGCTGACTGACCCTTGTCACTGGTTGCAGGCTGCAGCCTGTTGGAAAGCTGAGTGGCCACATTGGGCCCGTGATGTGTCTCACGGTAAACCAGACTGCAAGCAACCATGACCTGGTGGTGACAGGCTCCAAAGATCACTACGTCAAGGTACTCTCCTGTGGCTGCTGGGCAGAGCCCAGAGCCCTCTTCTCTCTCCTTGCCCAGGTTTCTGGTTTTCCCTGTTCTGCACATGGCTTTTTGTGCATCTTCTCACCCCAAATCTTGCTTTTTATTTCATGTGTGATACAAATACAGCTTTGGAGATGGGGGTTTGCATCTCTCACTCCTTGGACTCTGTGGCTCATGCTTCCATGTCACATCTGACTCAGCTGAGCAGTTTGTCCTGTTCTGCTCAATCCTCCCTCCTGTTACAGGTGATTTGCACCTGCTCATTTGCAGCTCCAGGACAACAAAAGATTGCACCTTCATTTTATGTTATTTTATTTTATTATTTTATTTTTCTGGCTCTTAGTAGGTTTGAATTGGAGCTGGCATCAGGGGAGTGGAGAGGGGTGGTGAGGTGGGGGGATGGCAGGATTCCACTCTTCTTAGCATCGTGAAGATGTGTGAAAGCTCACGATGGGTAAAATGTAGCAGAGCAGAGGCTCTGTGGTGGCACATCTCTCCCGGTGGATGAAATGAGGAAGACAGTAATTGTAACTGAGTTCTGATAGCATCTCTGAATTGGATTTCCCTTTTGTGACATCCTTGAGCCGTGCTGGCAGGAGAGTTCTCCATTACTGTAGGAAGTCGTTGGGCGTTTGTAGAATGAAGTGATAGTTCCACTGCAAAGTATAGGTGTAAGGAGTAAGTAAGTGCCTGAGATATTGTATGGAACCCTGAGAACAATCTCCAGCTATGACACGGACTCCCGTGCCCATGGTGAGGGATGTGTGGATCACTGTAACCACCCACCCAAGCGGTGCTATTTAACCACAACCCTGTTTTCAGCAGATCTGCTTTCTGTGTGCTCAGTGCGCTGAGCCTCGGGAATGGAGGGTGGTGGCCAAGTTCTTCGAGGAGGGCTGTCCTCTGTTTCCAGAGCCACCCAGGGTCTCCCAGCTGCTGTTTTCCCCCCAGGTGTTTGAGATTGCTGAGGGCGTGGTGGGCAATGTCAGCCCCACTCACAACTTCGAGCCCCCTCACTACGATGGCATCGAGTGCCTGGCCATCCAGGGAGACGTCCTCTTCAGCGGCTCCAGGGACAACGGCATTAAAAAGTGGGATCTGGAGCAGCAGGAACTTCTCCAGGTCAGGAGGGGAGCATAGGGGTAATGTGGGGCAGAGCAGGATTGCTGCTGTGTGTCTGGGGAAAGGCTGAGGGACCTGGTCCGGGTCCTGCTATCCTGGGAGGGCAACCGGTTCCTGGGGATCTGGCAGCGTGTGCCAAGTGGCTCAGTGTGCCTATAGATGTGTACTGCAGGGCGCCCAGAACTGCCAGCTCCCCTTGGGACGTAGGCTTGCAGCATCAGTCGCTGTGCTACTCTGAAAACAGGATTCAGCCTTAAATCTTGAGTCCAGCTCGGTGATTCGGATCGACCCCGGGGCAGCAGAGATGATCTGCAGCCCTGCAGCTGAGAGTGTGAGGCCAATTGTGATCTCTGCTCTGTCCCCGTGCCCACAGCAAATCCCAAATGCACACAAAGACTGGGTCTGTGCCCTGGCCTTCATCCCTGGCCGCCCCATGGTGCTGAGTGCCTGCCGAGGAGGCATGATCAAAGTCTGGAATGTGGACAACTTCACCCCGGTTGGGGAGATCAAAGGGCACGACAGCCCCATCAACGCCATCTGTACCAACTCCAAGCACATCTTCACTGCCTCCAGGTGAGCCTGAGGCTTGGTACTCCCCAGAGCCCCCGGGAGGTGGGAGAGCCCTGGGTTGTCCTGTCATCCCTGGGCCTGGGTGGGTTTGCACTGAGCAGGGCAGGGAGCCTGGAGGGAGAAAAGGGTGGGAGGGATCTTGCAGCTTTCCGGTCCCTCCGTGCCTTCATCTCTTCTTGCCCATCTTAGTCTGTGCCCTGCCCACTCTCTGGGATATCCCCACACAGGGACCCCTCTTCCCTGGGGCTGGGCGTCCCCTGCTGCTCTCGGGGAGCAATTTGGCAGCAAGACTCTGATGTCCTCTTTTCCACCGTGTCCCTTTTCCCCCTTCCTTTCTCTGTCTCTCTCTGTCTCTCCTCCTCCCCACCTCCCATCTGTGCCACAGTGACTGCCGGGTAAAGTTATGGAATTACGTGCCTGGGCTCACCCCTTGCCTTCCACGACGCGTCCTTGCCATAAAGGGCCGTGCTACTAGTCTGCCTTGACCCTCCTGCTCTTTCTGACTCTCTTGCACATGCACTCTTCTGTCTTTTCTTTCCTTTTCTCTCTCTCCATCTCCTCTTCCCTCTGTCTTTCTTGCTGTTGCTTGCTTTTGTTCTTCTCTCTTTCTTTCTCTCTCTCTGGTCTGAGCTGCTTCTTAACGGTATGAAACTCTTTTGCGTTTTTCCCCACTTGATAAATCCATGCTGGAGGTGACTTGCCCCTTTGTCCCAGCCAAACCAGTCGTTCCCCTGTGGAGTTTTGTTTTGTTTCCTTTTTTTTTTTCTTCTTTTTTTTTAACCTCTTGCCCAATGCCCACATCTGTGGCAGCTGTGTTCTGCCCTCACCCTTGCATGGATGGTGGGGGGGAGTCGGCAGCCCCCTGCCAACCAACCCATGCCCTGGGGAGACCAAATTCTCTACCCCGCCACTTTGAGCCATAGGCAGAGCCGATGCAGGGGCTGTGGGAGTCCTGCGGGTCACTGCTTGCCTTTGTCCTCAGCTCTGCCAGTGGGGTGAGCTGGAGGCTGAGCCCCATTGGGCCTGCCTGCTCCCTCAGACAGACATAGCATCCTCCTGCCAAGAGCCTGGGAGCCTCGTGGGCTGCATGCTGCCATGGGCTGGGGGTGGGCGGCGCTTCTCTCGCAGCGCCTGCCTGAGGCATGCGAAGCTCCTGGCTCACACCTCTCTCTTGCTTCTGTTTCTCAGCGACCTGACAGTGAAGCTCTGGAGTGGGAGGAGGTTACCCACCAGCTCCAACTAGGAACTGCAGAGCTGCTAGAAGATGTGGCAGGAGGGTGAAGGCTGGGGTTCACCCCATCATCTATGGGAACTCTGCCCAGGGATGGGGATTCTTGTGCCTGACCCGGCAGGGTGGGTGAGATCCATCTTGTCCCATCCTTGAGCACTGACAGATCCCGTGAAGAGGCAGCTCAACAAAGCACCGTCCCCTCCACTTTGCCTCCTGCTGCAGTTTCTCAGTGGTTTTCCAGTGACCAGGAAAGACTTCATGTCTTTTCTCACCCACCCTACTGTGCTGCCTGCCAGGTCTGTGAGGGGTTGGAGTCCAGGTGAGCTTCCTGGCTCCTTTTCAGAGACACCCAGCTCCCTCCTGCCTCTGTGGCTTCATGCAGCCTCTGCCTGGATTTGCTGCTTTTGTCCCCGCTGTCTCCAGGCTGGTTCCTGCAAGAATCTTTCTCTGTTCCACAGTCTCAAGGCTATTTGAAGTCTTCTGGCCGGGACCAGAGGTCAGGTTGTTCTTTTTTCCTTTGGAGACATTTCCTGTGGGACGTCCTCTGTGCTGCAGTGGATCTGCAGAAGGACCTTCAGTTAGTTCCATCCTTCCCTAACCTCAGCATACCTGGCTGCAGCAGCTGGAGCTGCACATCTGACCTGGCTCACCCGGAGCTTCCCTGCTGTGCCATCACACCACTTCCAGCCCAACCCGCTGTGCTTCCCTGCAGCCATCTCTGAATTCCGACTGCAAACTCTGCTGACCCTCTCCCCTTCCCCGTGTGCCCACTTTGCTCTGTGGTGGGGTAGGGAAGGGCTTCTCACCCTCAGCTACGGCTGCAGGAGGGTGAGGATGGAGATGGCTGTGCCAGGAGCAGAGCGCAGACGGGTTGGACGCTGGTCCTGCACGAGTCCCCCTGTGGCTGCACGCCTGAAGGACAATCCTACAGAGAATGATTGTGCACAGCTGGAGCCCTTCAGAAGGCTGAAGGCTCAGCCCAGCAGTGTCAGCGAGGATGCAGCCTCTCCAGCTGCCCTGCTCGCTTTTCTCTGGTCAGGGGGCCGACAAGGCCCTGGTCTCACACTGGAGCTTTCTTCTACCTCTCCTGTGGTCCCTCGAAGCATCCCCTGCTCCATCTGCCCTGCCTCACGCTGGGCTCGTGGGGGAACGGCTGTGTTGACCCTGGGAGTGGTGTTCTCACCTTATGTGCTCTCACTTCACTTTTGTCACTGAAGAAACAACGTTTGAACTCGGATTTAAGGATTTCTCTGTGTGATCCCATTGGTGCTGAGCTAGGATCTCGGAGGAGCTCCAGGATGTGCCCCGTAAAGCACAGACCAATTTCCTTCTGCTTTCTGCAGCCCTGTTTTTTTGTCACCAGCCCTTGTTCAAACCACTGCAGGAGGGAATTTATGCACACCTTGAAACAGGAGCATCTCTACTGACTTGATGAAATCTTTCTTCTTTTATCATTTGGGGGGGGGGGGGGGGGATGAAGAAAGTGCTGTTTACACGCCCCGCTGGAGGGCATGATGGCTGCACAGGGTCACCCTGCCCAGGACAGGATGGTGGCTGCACCTGGGTCACAGCTGAGCTCTGTGCTGTGGGGCTGGGGGTGGGCAGAAAGGCTCAGAGGCCCCATGGCTGCCCCGTGACGCACAGCACCAGGAGGTGGAGGCAGTGCTGCCCTCTCAGCCTGTTCTTTTTCACTGGGATGTGTGTGTCTGCATTTGTGTGGCTGTAGCTGGGTGTACCATGGGCATTGGTGTCTAAGTACCTGTGTGGGTTGGTATTTCCCATGTGGAAGAGTGACTTTTTTTTGGGGGGAGGGGGATATTGATTTGGTTTAGCTACCTCACGGTGCAAGCTGGGTGCTGTTGTCATTGGTTTCATTTTGGGGGTGGGCTGGGGAGGCTTTGTTTGTATTCCTTTGGCCACTGCTGTTATGGATTTGACACTTGAGTTTGTCCCAAAGACGCGCGGCCTCACTGCGCCTTGCTGTGTTTCTGAGCCCCTCCTGTTTCCTCCTGTTGCTCGGCACAGGGCTCTGTGCTTCTGCTCTTAGGCGTGGGGTCGATGTGCAGCCTGAGGGCGGTGGTTCCCTTGAAGGACAGACTCAGCCTGTGTTCTTGCCTCTGCTCTCACAGAGATTTGCTGTGGGTGCAAAGCAGCTCTTCTTGTCTGGGCAATGCCATGCAGGGCACGTTATTGGAATGGGCTGGTCCTGGTCCCTGTGTTCCAGAACCTGCTGTGATGTGGTAGCAGCAGGCAGCTTGTGCTGTAACAGCCTCTGCCCGAAACGGAGGCAGCCTGAGATGAACTGGATCTCATAGGTGCTGTTAGAGTTGTTGTCCCCAAAATGTAGTTCAATCTAGATCCTGTCCCAGGCACTGAGCATGACTAGGACAGCCCTAGGAAGTTGGCGCGGGGCTCTGCCCTGCTCCCCAGCACTGGGGGCTGTGGGAGGGGGCAGCTCTGAGCCATGCTGTCGGGGGGGGGGGGGCCAGGCCCTCCGAACGCTAAAGCACAAAGTCCCACCCCAGCTGAAGTCCACCAAGTGTGGCCCCTTGGCCTCTGGTCCTTCGGCTCCTTCCCTTGCTGTGGCTGCCCCACCTCTGCCTGGGCGGGCACCAGAAGGCCCTGGGGCTGCATTTGCCCATTTTGCCATCTGTTCCAGGGCCCGGGGTTCAGTGCCTGCAGGCCCCGGCTGGGGCTGTGGTTTTGGACGCAGAGGGTGAAGGTGAAGGGCTGGGATGCAGATGGGGTCGGTCCTTTCACACTGTGCTGGGTGCTCCTTTGGGGCTCAGGACTTGCACTGCTTTCTTGTGGTCTCTGAGCCTCTCTGCACCTCGTTTTGCTTCTCCCTCGGTGCCTTTGTTTGTGCCAAGCATGGGGATGATAGCTGCTGTCCTGGGAGCTCCTTCCCTTGCTGAGAGCTGGGGGACTTTTTGTTCCTGGGCTCTGCCTCTTGCTCCTGAATCTCCTCCTCCCAGCACACAGGGGCCAGCTTCGTGCTCTGCTGAGGGCACAGCACTGCCTGGAGCTGAGCTTTGCACAGAAGGGAAGGAGTTGACTCAGAAGCCCAAATTTTCGGGCCCCCAAACCACTGTGAGCCCATCCAGGGAGCTGCAGCTTTCCCAGCACAAACGACAAGGCTGTAGGGCTGTCCCCAGCCCAGCCAGCTGCGAGAAGCACAAGGGTACGTTGTTCCTCCCCAGCACCTCCAAGCACAGCTGCTTTGGGCTCCCTGCCTCAGCATTCTGCTCCCATCCCACGCTGGATGGGGTCCAGGTACGATCCCACAGAGCATTTGTCACTTCTCTCCTTGCCTTGCGGCCTGCTCACTGCTGCCTTGCTCCATCCTGCAGGCAGCATCGCCTCCCGCTCCCCCAGGTCTCGCACCCTGTGGTGCTCCCGCTCCAGCTGGGAGGGATCCCAGCACAGTCCCACTCCCCCCAGGCCTTGTCCCCAGCAAAGCGTCACCCTTTGCCTCCCTGCCACCCCGGGGCTTTGTCCACGTTCCCAGTGGAGCAGCTCTGCCCCTTTATCTGCTCGCTGCTCCGCATCCCACGGCCGCCCTGCTCTGCTCCCTGCGCTGCACCGCCTGCTCCAGCAGCCCATCCCCCTGCACAACTGGCACAGCAGCAGGTGCCTTTTCTTGCTCGGAGCTGTTGTACAGAGGCCAACTCCTGTTTGTGAAGGCTTTTTTTGTCTCTGCTGGGTGGCGCAGCCCAGCGCTGCGGTCTGGGTTTGTCAGAGGACAAGGTGTGTACAAATATTTTATACCTCGATGTGTTCCTGTAAATAGTGTAACTTATTTCGGTCTCATGATGTATGTTTGTTTGGATTTTTTCCCAATGGATGTGTTTGTTCCTTGCCTCTTTGTCTTCGCAAATAAAGCGTACTGAAAGGAAGAGACAAAGCAGTGATGACTGTTATGGGGAAGAACAGAGCTGGAAGCCGCCCGTCCTGATGCGCATGGCCTGGGAGCTGCGAGGAAGTGACCATGTGGGAACCGGGCCCTCAGGGACTGCAGGGATGTCCGTGTGCCTCTGGGATGTGCCTGAGCTGCTGCCTGGGCTCAGTGAGCCAGTGCTGAGCCGGGCAACAGCGGCAAAATGCGTTTGGGGGCGCTCCACCCTCCGAAAAGGTCCTTGAAAGCATCCCGAGGAGGCAACAAAGCCGGAAAGGGCTGCAAGGTACATCCTGTGTGAGAGGCTGAGGACCCCCGGGTTGTCCGAGCTGCAGGAAATGGGGCTGAGAATCTGTTCCACTTCTCGTTGTGGCTTCCTAAGCAGGGGAATGGCACAGAGCTGTCCCTAACTGATGGTGGATGTGAAGGAGGGCTCGGACGGGGCGCTGGGAAACATGTCTTTACCAACCACACGTGGGGGTGGTCCAACGCTGGCACGGGCCCTGCGGGGGGTGGCGATGCCCTGAGCCCGTCAGCGTCCGAGTGGCATTTGAACAACGCCCCGATGCCTGCGTTGACTTCAGGTCAGGACCCGATCGGACCCTTCCGGCTGCTCCATCCAATTCTAATTGCCTCCGCGCTTTGTTCCACCCTGGGGGCCGCCCGGCTGCTGGAGTCCCCCCAGCCCCCCGCAATGCTGCGGGGACCGCCGCCAGGTGGCAGCGCGGGCTGCGGTGCGGGGACGGCGGGCGGCGGCGGGGCCTTTTGCGGGGATGTTGTGAGGTTCCTCCCTCCGTCCCAACCCGTTCTGGGGCCCCCTGAGCTGTGACCGCGCTGCAGTGCCCGCAGAGGTGACGATGTTGGCGCCGCGCTGTGCCCCACGCCGGGGTTGTGGTGTCAGCGGGTCACAGATGTGGGGCACTGTGGGCTCAGCTTCTCCAGCAGGGCAGGTGACAGCAGGGACATCGATCTCCTGCCTGCTGTCCCCCACACCTCGCCGGCATCGTGTCAGCAGCTCACCCCAAACTCGTGGCCGCTTCTTTGTCACCCCAGCACGACACAAAGGCCAGGCTGGCAGTGTGCTGCGCTCCCTGCAGGACCTCGCAGAGCCGTGTCCCTGCTGCAGGGTGCTCTGTCTCACCTCAACCGTGGCCTTGCTGAAATCTTGAGGCCAGGAGGAACAGAGGAAAGAGTCAAACAGGTCAGAATGTTTGCAGCAGGGAATTTGAGCCTACCTGCACAGGACGGGTTGCTCTGCGCCCATCAGTACTGCAGCTCAGCGTTCCATTGGTGCCACCTGGCCACGATGCTGGGGCAGCTGCCAGGCACCAGGATGCTGAGCCTGGGAAACAAAAGGGACTGGCAGCGCCCAGCACTCGTGACTGTGCCTGCAGGAATGAAGCTGGGCAGGTGCTCAGCTCGCGTGGCTCAGTGCCTCCTGGGTCGCACACTGGCCCTGCTGCCCAGGGCCACGACATGGCACAGCAGGGCAGGGTGACGTGACACGAGGGATGGGCACGCAGCCACCTGCGCTTGCTGGGCTGGAGGAGGGCTCTGGTATTTACCCCGCTCTGCCACCATCATACCTCGCACACTGGTTTGAGGTGAGCAGCAGGGAGAACCTGTGGGGGTCCCCCCTCATCCCAGCACCCAGACGTGGCAGGGGCAGCACCAGGCAGATGGGCGCCAGGCTGGAGGCTTGGACACATCCCAGGGACAGATCCCAACTGCCAGCACAGGGCTGAACCCAGCAGGAGCGCATCCAGCCTGGGTCCCAAATACACCGGCTGAGGGACAGGCAGAATGCATCCCGCATGCATCCCTCAGTCCTGCCCTGTGTACCAGTGCACTTGGGAAATGGCAACAAATGGGCCGGCACAGCTCCACTGCCCACCCAGCCACCCCTCCTGGGCAAAAAGTGACCCACTTGTGAGATCAGCAACATCTTCTCCAAGCAGCGATGCTTGGCCACCAGCCCTGGGCAGACAGCCTGCTCCCAGACCTGCCACGCGTGGTCACCAGTGAGTGACCCAGCACGGGGCATGGCCACATCTGGGCACCCTACAGGCATCTGCTGCCCTCCCCTCGGCGAAGGGGTGCGTGGTGGGGGTACGTTTCCCTGGGCATTGCTTCCAGGTGGGATCTGCAGCCCTGGGGTTGGTCTGCCCCTCCTGGGCACGCTTCTTGGCAGCAGGACGGAGGTGAACCCACCGCTGTGAGCAAACAACCGCGAGCGGCGGCCGAGAGCAGCGCCCGCACAGCCGGAGTGGGTGAAACTCCGGGCAGCGCCGTCCGAGGCTCTGACAATGATTAAACTGGCCAACCCAGATTTCCCGGCAAGGCAGCGCTGGGCTGGGGCCGATGGTTCATATTATGCAAATCACCTGGATCAGGGAGCATGAACGTTTCAGGGCTGGAATTCCCCTCCGGCCTCCAGATCGCGTTACGCCACGCGTGCTATAAAAGAGAGAAGGCAGGGCAGGATCTGCCCATCGGCGCAGCTGTGGTGGCGGTGGGCAGGGCTCGCTCGCTGCTCTCTGGATTTAGCCGCTGCCCAGGGATTACAGCGCAGAAGGTACCCAAGATTTTCCTCTCTGGTGGGGAAGTCCCCCAGCCTCGGCGGCCGCTTTGCTCCCTCCGTGTGTGCTGGGGACGTGCTCGGTGCTTTCTGGCTCTTCACTGGTTTTCCCATCGTTGCCTTTTGGGGAGCAGCGAGGCGGTGGGCTCCAGGCGACCAGCAGGATGCAACTCTTCCACTGTGGCCTCGCAGCCCTGCAGCTGATGGGATTTGCCTATTGTACCAACTTGGAGGATGGCCCTGCTCGTGGGGCATCTGTGGGGCTGGGCAGCATTTGATGGTCCTGCAACGTCCATCCCCACGGAGGGGCTGTCTCACCGACAGTGGGACCACCTGCTTGCCGTCCCTGTGGTGCGAGCAGGGATAGGTGCTGGGGAGGGGGCTTTGGTGAGGAGGATGCCACGTCCTCATCCTGCTACAGCTCAGCCCCATGGCAATCAGTGCAGCACTGGGTGGGGGGGCTCAGCAGTGGCAGTGCCGGATGGAGGCACAGAGATCGTGGGGTTACAGTGGGCGCTGTGGGTTTGGGTGTCTGGTGCCAGGGCTCACTGTCACCTCTCGTCACAGAACTTGATGGCGGCATCTTGTGAGATCAGCAACATCTTCTCCAACTACATCAGCGCCATGTACCAACCCGAGGAGGTGCAGCTGCCCCTGGATGTGCTGGGATGCCCCGGGGAGGACAGCAGCATGGGGCTGAGCCTCTCCACCAGCCAAACCCTGGCAGAGGGCACAGGTGGGATGGGGCACAGCGGCGGTGGGGTGCAGTGGTGGTGGCGTGCAGGTGCGGTGCCCAGCACACAGGGCATAAACGAGGTGGTGCTGGAAGGGCATTGCAAGGACACAGTCCCACTGGGACAGGTCGAGGCTTGTATCGTGCCTCAGTTTCCCCAGGAGTATTTTGGCTGGAGGGTACTTCAGCTGGCACAAGGTGTGATGGCAGCCCCATATAACACACTGTGCCTGTGGGACC